GTTTGATAAATTTAACCAAAGAAAACAATAGAAGTTACATGAGTCATTGTAATATTAAAATAGACATTATTTTGGTATTACAGTAGCTCTGGTCAATAGACATGCTGGACAAGTTGACTGAAGAACTGAAATTTTAGATTGTGTAATTTAAGATTTTACTCTAATAGATTTTATTTTGAATTAAAAACTTGTAAAAACATTAATGAACAATGTCTTCGATTAATAAATTTACTGATAACTCTACATTAAAGATGTAAAAAATTGCTTACAAATCGTGGATCGAAATGGTCTCTAAGTATAGTAATTAGGTCTTATATATTTAAATTAAATTAACTGTACATTTTTTTTTTAATATAGACATTTAGATCAAACGTGTGATCGAAGATACTATTCTTATCTATATCTATGATATAAGAATAGCATTACACACAACAATCATTTAATTTTCATAAAACCAAATGACCCGTTAATCTGAATATTAATATTATTATTGGAGTTGTTTTTGTAAAGTTCAAAGTACGAAATATTCTCAAGGTTTATTAGTCTCGTGTGTAAATTTTGTGACGTTTCAAACAAATTATATTAGTCAAAATAAAAATATATTGTCTATAATAAAATGTCTCATTAATGTTTAATATTTCATGTCATAAAGAAGTGTAAAAAGAATATATAATATTCTTAGGTCCAATCTGGGAGAGGACACTTATTCTCATTCTAATTCTGTCGTAACCTTTCCCTCAAAAAAAAAATATTACATATAAATTTATATGAAAATATTTTTAAAGAGGGGAGAAATCATGTGAGGTCCACCAAAAATGCTGTTCAAATCGAACCTATAATAATATTTAAAATGTTCTTTCATTATCAGCACGCAAGATTTACTTGTATGAAACTGGATAATCGTTTGTAGTCAACTTCATTAACCAATATCAGTGAGGTATTATGAACTATTTTGCAAAATGGGAATTTTGAGAGGAATAGGTCATTATCTACCCATACCCCCAAACCTAAAAATCTTATATATTTTTTGAAAACATAGATAAGCATTATTATAAATGTATAAATCTTCTCGAAAAATAATATCTAATTCAATTATAACAATATTTTACGAAAAAAACACGTTTTGTGATTTACATGTATAATGCGAATAGATAAATTTAAATACTTAATTTTTTTAAATTTAGTTGATAATTGTAATATTTATTTTGGTACAAGTTTGCGTAGAATTATATATACATAAGAATTATTAATGTTACATAATTAAAGTACTGAATAATATAATACATACAGCAAAAAAAAAAAAAGTCTTTCATGAATAGATTTTTGGTTGACACTCATTAATAACATCGAATTCGAACAAAATAAAATTGTTAAAACCAAGTATAGGTAAATTATTTAGTATAATTATTAAAATAACCATTACATAATGTGTGTAAATTTATTTCCCATAAAATGTTGAAGTGAATAACTATTACATATCAATGGATTCTTTAATCCCCTCTAATAAAATTACTTTGAACTTGCTGTGTCAGTGAATTTTGCTACATTAATTCTTTTATTTAATTATCTATAAACACCTGAACAAATAAACGACTAATTTATAACTATCGTAAAACGCAATTGTTCATATAAAAAAATCATAATGGTTGTGTTACATTTTATGAGTCTCGATATATAGAACTTGTGTTCTTGACACCAAAACATTTTTCATAGGCATTTATATATTAAACAATTAAAATGTTTCATTTTGCGTTACCTTTATCTATTTGATTTATTTAATGATCAGTAATATTGTATAACATACAAAATTTGCAATTATAAATTGGCATTTGCCATTTGAATAAACATTGAAAATGCGCATATATGAATCATAATTCTACTTGTAATAGAATGGAATAAAATTATGTACCGATATACTTTCTATTAAACATTATAATATAGTGAAGTACAATAATCAATATAATATAGCTTCTTTTTTCAATTCCTCCTAAGTAAGCAACTTAATGATTGGTAGTGACGGCTTTAGGCATTTCAGCGCCTCTTGCATGTATTACTTTGGTGCCTTGTAAAAAAAATATATTACCTCATTTTTTAATTGACGTATAATAAACGTCCTAAAAGTATCATGAAACATTGTCCTTTACATTTTAACACACTGTTCCGTCTTAGGTGTCAATCATACCTAATGTCGGCACTGAAGACAGGAAAACCTGTAAAAATAACCAAATACTTACATACTAAGACCCAATGTGTTCTTGATCAAACAAAAAAAGGCTAAATAAATTAAAAAATAAAAAATAATAAGTAACGTAAAAGTTAAATTAATTGAGTACAAATGCCAAGAGTTTAATAAAATGCTAATTACTAGTTTCGGCGGTGGCCAAAACTAGTATCTAGGCCAAATCTTCAAATTACATTAAAAAATCCCTTAAACATTTTTTATTAAATAAAACGTAAATCTAATAAATAAAAAAAATATCACAAAAAATTACAATAACTCAAAGTGTAAAAAAAGTTACGGTTATAAAAAATTAAACATGTCTTGTAAAATTAGATAAAACTTATATATATATATATTTGTATTAATATCTGGGAGTAATAAGAATATTATTGTTATGATTATGCTGATTAATATCGTAACATTTGTTGAAAATAAATTAACTTTACTCATTTTCATTTAAAATATTAGAGATAAATGTTGGAAAAATTATAGTAATATTAGCCAACAACTTATTTCATAAATTTATTTAACAAATCATTTTTTTCAAAATCTACATCAATTACAGTGTACAATGAAAAATTTAACTAAAACATATAATTACGCACTATGGCAAGTTTAAATAGTCGTTTAAAAAGAAACCACGAAACTAATTTTTTGCTCGGAACGTATTTAAATGTCAGAGATGTTAATTAATTGAAGAATTAATTTTAATTAAAAACTGTATTGTATCTTTTTAAAAAGATAGAGTCGTAATTAATTTTAATTCTTGAGACATATTGTCAACTTGTAATTGCTATTAATTTTTAGTTGTCTAGAACCATTTGATTTAAATTTACGTTTTAAATACAACATCACTACATTTTAACTTCATAATGTATTTCTTACATATATAATTGTACTGTACAAATACTAAAAATCTCTATGAGGACATGTAACGAAATAAGTTGGAAGAAATTTTATTTTAGCAAAATAACATTTTATTTTTAGTATTTTGTAAATTTTTACTTATTTAGTTTTATATTCTAAATTGATAAGAATAAAATAAAAAATGGCTTTATAAGTAAAATAATAATGTAGAATTAAAACAATTGATAAATTTTATGCATAAAGATTTAAATAGAAATTTAAAATAAATAAGTCAATATATTTATTTTATATTTTTTTGAAAGTTGAATAGCACAAAATAAAATACTAAATTTCACTCAGAGGCAAAATTTTACTTCTATTATCAAAAAAATCCGAAAATAAAGATTTTGTTTGTATTATTTGATTTGTGTTCTCCAATTATGTTCAAACGTAAATTTTCAGTTTAAATAAAAATTGTTAAATTTTAAAAGAATATTTAATATAATATAGTTATGATTAAAAATTTTTTTTTTCCACATTTTTTAAAGTTTTTGTATGTATGAAACAATTACAAATTAGTTCACGAATTATCAGCATAATTTACCTTTTTTTTGTTCTGTGAAAACTATAAAATTGAAACAGTTGCTATTGTCTATATTATTATTCTAAAATGTTGATTTCCGTGATACGGCAAAACAAAAATAATTTAATTTATATGAAAATCACAAATATTATTTTTTTATGCCATTTATAAATCTAAGACATGTTCGCTTACGTCAAAGTATGCCTGCTAATCGTTTCATAGGTATAAAATTATTACAAAGGTGGCCAGTGATATGCGATTAGCAATTAATTAGTTGATAACATTTAGAACTATAATTTTGATTTCAAAAAATGGGAACTAATAGGTATATAAAATTATTATTAAGTGATAAAATATCAATTACATATTTAGAAGTACAATTAAATTGCGTTAGTTTATGTCTCAGTATTAATTTATCATTTCTCTAACTACTTGTTAGGTATAAGACAACATTAATATATTCGCAAGCATTTAGTTAGAAAGTTAGAGATTACATTATATATTGTAAAGATAATTATTATCTATAAAGAAAATGTGTAATGAATAGAATAATAATAAACAGTGAAGTATCAATTTAGTCTTTATAGTACTTACGTTTAAGATTGTTGTGTCAGTGGACAGTATTTGGACTAACTATGAAATTCAAAGTAATAATTTCTACTAAAAATGTTTAAATAGTATAAAAAAATAAATTATATTTAAATAAGAACTCATTTGTATAATATAACACAATGTTTTTGATTCGCTAAACAACATATTGTTTAAATATCTAATATACATTATTAAGTTTATTTTTTACCATAGAGTATTTGCAGTATAACTAAAACTTAACCTATAAATAGGATAGAAATTATTTTATTTCCATACATTAGATTAAAATAAGCCAATTATGATCATCGCATGTGAACTTGGAATTATTGTGTTGTCTGAGTTAGCGTAGCATGAGAATTAATGATATTCTATGTTAATGCTAAATTAATTATTCTGTAAATCAACCCTTTACCATTTTATTTTAAACAACTTTACTGGTTTTAAAATTAAATAAAAACAGTTATGAATAGTTATTAATTCACATAGTCTCATTACTAATAGTGTGAACGAATATATAACTTTGCTTCACTAGCTTTAGATTAATTCTTATTTAGCTGTACAATATTTATAAGAATAATTAATTTGTTTTTATTTAACATAATTTATTTTTATTTACATTAGTAAAACATTTTTAAATAAAGAAAATAATTGTTAGAAAAAAATCATTTTATTTTCCTAAATTATAAATTAAATGAGAACACTTTAATTATTTTTAATGATGAATTTAACTTTCAAGTGACCAAATTGTTTAATTTCTAGGGGTCTATGCGTCCAATTATTACAGAATTAGACAATGGTAAGAAAGGAGCTATTCGAACAGATGTTGCAGATCTTGTTCTCGTAAAGTATGTAAATAATTATTTAATTAGAATAATTAGTATGTATTAACTAATATAAAATCGTATATTATTTAAACCATTTTTTAAATTACAAAAAAAAAAAACGTATTTTTTAGTTTATTTATTCTATTATATCATAGAAATGATCAAAAGTTCTTTTGATTTTATTAATTACCTAAATAGTAGCACGATTTCGAAGATTACAAAAATAAAATTGAAACTTAATATATAAACATTAATGGTACAATATTTGTTGACTTATGAAATATTTTCTATACGATAAAAAATATATTTCTTTATTACATTAGGACTCATCTTTATGTTATATTTGTCTATTTAAATAACAAATTAAAATATTGACAGAAGTAATTTAATAAATTAATAGATTGTTGAACTTTTAATTTGATTCGAAAATTCATTTTACAATTTCTATTTGCTGTTTTTATTTAATTATGAATTTGTTCATGTTCTATGACAATTATTAATGATGTATTTAGTCAAAATAAAATTAATGGTGGTTAATAATATTTGTAAATATTTATTTTTAATTTATGAAATAATTAATTATATCATATATATTTTATTAATATATAAACATTTTAATGTTGATTTGTTTATCAAACTGTTTGAAAAAAATGTGCTTAAAATGGATTGGGGAATTTAGGAATAAAATTAATTTTATATATATATATATATAGATCAGTTATAGTTAATTTAACCTTTTACATGTTAAATTAGTAATAATGATTCTCCTCTAGTAAATAGTTATTAATAATTAAGCTAAAAAATATAAATTATTTTATGTATGTTTTGTATGGTCGATTTTTCAACAGGTCTACTAATGTTCAGAATTGTATTTAAATTTAAATATATTTAATTCGTAATTTTATAAATATCTTCTAAGATTGCTTATAATGTATAAATTTAATTTAATAATGCCAAAAAATATTAACTAATCTATCAAGTTTTTCAATTTTTTAAACTGTAAAATAAAAAAAAAATTAAAAGTTATTAAAAAAATATGAAATATAAAAAGCTTGATTTTGATCACTACTATGATCTAATGAAATAATTAGTTAAAAGTTATTAAACAATTCTCTTATAACATTTTTGGATTCTACGATTAAACTTTATGGAGCCTATATTTTTATTTGGAAAAAAAAGTTCAGTAAAGTTCAGTACATATTATGTAAAATAAATGACATTACCATATACATAATCATATTATACATTCGATAAAAAAAATATTGAAGAGCAATATAAGTGTTAAAACTATTTTTAAATTAGGTTCTTAAATCCTTTTAGCTTCAATGCAAAGCTGAGAAGGTTATGATTTGTGTATATATTTATGTCTGTCCATGAAAATTCTCAGTCTCATTATATTGACTATAATGATTAATACGTCAAAAGTACGTCGATTTTAATATAGTTGAAACACTAGCCTTAAAAAATTGAAAAATCTTCTCTTTTTTAGAAATTAAAAAAATATCTCAAAATTATGCTATTGTAATAAAATAGCATTTTTTTAAATTTATTTTCTGTATTTTAAGATTAATGTCATCTTTCTTTTAAAACACTGATCCAAATGAAATCTAAAAAGTATATTAGAAACAATAGCTTCTTTTGGTATGATTTTTTCTGAAAAATAATGAATAGCCTACATACAGGAAGTGTTTGAAAGAGGCCACTCATGCATGTAAATTCATTTTTTTTCAATTTTTGAAAATGTTTAACCTATATGAAATTAAAGTGATTAAAGATGTACTACAAAATTAATGACAAATATTCACAAAATTACTCAACTACGTGAAATCGACCGCCAAAACAAAAAATTACGTTGTTTTAATTTTTTAATAATTTCAGGTATGCCTGCATTATTAAAACCTATATCAAATAAAAACAAAAATTAAATAAATGATTTCATAGATTTCTTATGCATAGTGTGTGATAAAACGAGCCTGTAATATTTGAGTGATATGTTAAAGCATGACAATTGTAAAATTTATAATAAAGAAATAATTGTAGATTTTAACAAATTAACATTAATACATTTTTTATGATGTGATGTAAATTACTGTCACATATTATCTACAGATATTACAACTATTTTACCACAACATTGTGCTGGCTTTTTTAAATCGCATATTTAAAAATAAAAATCATGACAACCACATCTCTAATAATAAATTTTATTTATTTACAACTATTTAAATATAATTTTAAAAAATCTTTAAAGAAAATATTTTATTTGTTTATCAAAAATAAAATTGTGCACTATTAGTTTAGATTAGTTTTTATCAAAGAAATTAATTTGAAAAATGGGTTTTTTTAGAAGATTATGCGAATATGATTTATGGTAAATTTTGAGGTACTTCTAATGGGATATATATTTTAAGTAGAGAAAATACAAAATGATTATGTGAAACATATAAATTATTTGTTATTTATTTTAACATATATTTATTGATAAAGTATGAAAATTACTTTACTTTAAAAATAATGCTAATAGAAGTTTAATCTGTTCTTTATAGGTACAAATGTTCATCAAATGGTGTACCGGTAACCCAAACCAATGGATCTACTCTTCCATTGGTATCAAGCACCAGCAAAGATGCCGAACTCGGTGGTTACAATCCATTTGACCATCGAACAATCCAACATCCTACTACGTAAATAAATTCAAGTTTTATTTATGATAAATTACTAAACTATATTTAATTTCAGAGATATGGAAACCTTTATTCATCTGTTAAAAGGAAGTCTGGGTACAGGAATATTAGCTATGCCCTTAGCATTTCTTAATGCTGGTTTGTTATTTGGGCTTGTTGCTACTGCTACTATTGGGTTCGTTTGTACATATTGTGTCCATATATTGGTATGTTATGTTTCACAATTTTAATAATTTCTTTAAAATTATAATTTTTATATTATTACATCAACTTAATTCAAAATATTATCCCGTTTATTATTTTTTCATAATTCTAAGCCAATTAATTATAGGTGCGTCTAAAAAACACTTTTGAGGGTATCAAATTCATTTCCTCCTACACTTCATTACTATTAACAGTAGCTTACCCAGAAAGCCAAAAGCTACCCCATTGTTTGTGCTAATTCTATTTTTTAGATAAAAATCGTCTAAAATTTTAATAAAATTTTTTATGATATAAGCTCCATCACATTGGATAATTCCTGAGCACATCACTAATTGTATATGTGTATATATATACTGATTGATTCATTAACGCTAGTAACTCGATTTCTCTTAAAATAATATATATTATTTTTAATTTCTTTTTTGGATTTTATAAGTTACATATGTTTTTCTATTGATCTATAATACATATTTTTTATGTTCATTCCTTATGTCTTAAAGGGGTTTCAACTTTTTTTTTTCTAATGAAAACATACATATTTAATTAATTTATAATATTATGTAATTAAGAAAATGACTAGTCGATGACAACTTTTCGACCAGTATTTCAGAATTGATTAACAAATCAAAGTATTGACTGAAGGCGCTAGTACTACTATTTTTAATATTAGATATTTCCCTGTTTCACTCCTACTCCCCGCTTGGGTATAAAAATGTTATTTACATCTTAAATGCTAGTCCAAAAGTTGTTATCAACCAGACGTTTTCTTAATTATATAATTTTCTATTTTGTAGGATAATTAAATATGTATGTTTTCATTAAAAATAATAAAATTGACACACCTATAAGACATAATGGATGAACATAAAAAAATAGATAAATGGAAAAACATATGTAACTAACAAATACCAACAAAATTCACAAAAAAGTTATTATTTTAAGAGAAACTGAGTGTCTAGTGTTAAAAGAATCTCCCTGTATGTATAATTTTATAAATTATGTTTTAGAGAAGTCTTAATTTTTAACTAGAGACATACACCCTAATTCTCCTTGTAGCATCTATGTACAATGTTATTTCGAAATTTTAAGTCAAGTACTAATAAAATATTATTTATTATAATTATGTTATTGAAGTTTGATTGATCTTCTTATTAACCATCATTTAATTTTATGTATATTTAAGAATACATATAAAATTAATTCATTTTTAGGTTAAATGTTCCCATAAGTTATGTCGTAGAATGCAAGTACCTGCATTAGGTTTTGCTGACGTCGCCGAAATTGCTTTTCTTGCAGGACCTCCAGCTTTTCAAAAATTTTCTGGACTTTTTAGGTAAGAATTTTCATAATTTGATAACATGAATTAATATATATATATTTATTAGCTTGATATTTATGTATTATTTTTTTCTATTCATTTTCCAGAGGCCTCGTTAATACGTTCCTAACAATTGATTTACTTGGTTGTTGCTGTGTTTATATTGTATTTGTTTCACAAAACTTAAAACAGGTGAGAATCGAAATTTTTACTCAGTGATTCTTTTAACACCAACCACTTGATTTTTCCTATAATATTAATTATGTTAATACAATTATTGTTGGTATTTTTTAGTTTCATATATCTTTTGATTTATTGGTTATTAATTAATCCCTTGCATCTATTTAAAGTGTCAACTTAAATATCAACATTAAAAAATAAACCAATTAAGTAAATGACTGGTCGATTTCTCAAAGACATTTCTTGGTCGCAACCCTTCTCTCTCCCAGGTATAAAAATGTTAATAACTTCTGAAATGCTAGTCCAAAATTTGATGTTGACCAGTCATTTTCATAATTTGATAATTTCCTATTTAATAAGCTAGTTAAAAAATACATGTTACCATTTAATTTATGGTAATATATATCTAGGTTTTTAAATATTATAATTATTTCCAATGATGAGTTTTTACAATTTTTTAGGTGATGGACATCTACGTTTTTGAAATGAACGTCAGATGGTACATGATACTACTCTTACCATTAGTTATTGTTATGAATCTTATTCGAAATTTAAAATACTTGGCACCATTCTCCATGATTGCCAACTTTTTGGTTGGTATTTGTATGTGTATTACCTTCTGGTATGTATTCCAAGACGTACCATCAGCAAAATCACTACCGTACATGGCTGATTGGCATCAATGGCCACTATTCTTTGGTACTGCTATCTTTGCTTTGGAAGGAATTGGTGTTGTAAGTTTTTCCACTGTAATCGGTTATTTAACTAACTAGTGTTTTAATCGCTAACTTTTTACAGGTGATGCCATTAGAGAACAATATGAAAACACCTCAACACTTCATAGGATGTCCCAGTGTACTCAACATCGGTATGGCCATAGTAGTAGTGTTGTATTCAACCGTGGGGCTCTTTGGCTACATGAAATATGGCAAAGATACTCAAGCTAGTATTACATTAAATCTTCCTCAGGATGAAATGTAATTTTACTCGAATCGATTTCACCTTATATTTTTATTGTTTATAAATTAATTAAGTTCGTTTTTACTTGTATTATTATAGATTAGCTCAATCCGTGAAGGTTATGATAGCTGTTGCCATATTTCTCACGTACAGCTTACAATTCTACGTGCCATTTGAAATTGTATGGAAATCTACTAAACATAGATTTACATCTCATCCAGTAATTTTCGAATACTTGCTCAGAATTTTGTTAGTCATAGGCACTGGTAAATATAAATTATATATATTTATATAAACATATACAAATACGTATAAATATTTAACGTTAAATAGTCCATGACATATTTCTTTATCAATTTACTTTTGTAATGGCAAAAAAAGTATTTTCAATATAATATAACGGCCTATCCGTAAAAACTGAAAGGTCTAAATCTTCAATCCAATGGAGTTGCTAAATTTATATTGTAATTGATTATTACCCAAAAATATAAAACATGGAAATCCAAGGGTATGCTTTTAGTCAGAACACCTTTGATTAAATTATTTATTTAGTTAATAAACATTTTAATATCCAGAGACGGTTCATAAATTTTTTTGAGAGGGTTTACTCCATAATTGGCATTTTTATATCAAAAATTTTTTTATATTTACTTTTTGACGATTTTAATAAAAAATATGAACTAAAAATGACATGATATAAAAAATCAAGTATAAAAATACTGTTTTGTTCTGTACTTAAAGTACTATAGACGATATATTTACCGGTTAGGATGAAATTGCTAAATCGGCATTTCTCATTGTATAAAGGGAAATAGATACTCCCAAGCCTCCATATAGGAAAGCACTGTTAATATCTTATGAATTCTTTATTATAAAAGATAAATTTTTTTGTTGAAAAAGAAGTATTTTAAATAAGAAGCATTCGTTCTTGTCTTTTATAATAATAATAATAGTCAAAGTAATATATTTATATGTTTTTTTTGTAGTTGGCCTTGCAATTGCCATTCCAAATCTTGGGCCATTCATATCACTGGTCGGAGCACTGTGTCTGTCGTTCTTGGGTTTGATAATACCGAGCTGTATAGATCTTGTAACATGTTGGGAAGATCCAGGAATGGGTACTTTATATTGGCGACTATGGAAGAACTTGGCCATCATTGCTTTTGGTATACTAGGATTAGTCACGGGTGTCTATTGTAGCTTAATTGATATCATGAAAGAGTTGAGCCATTGAGCACAAACAAAGAAATTTATCATGATTATACTAAATGACGGCAGCGACATAACAATTCTGACAGAACAGCAATATTAGCGTTGTCAACTACATCTTAGAGTCCAGTAATGATTTTTACAAAATGAAAAAAAAAAATGACAATAATTACTATTTTGTACTGATATACTACTAGGGTGCAACAGAGAATTTGAAAAAATAATTATCGACTTAGGTTATGTCTTATAAATTTAAAAACTGTTCAAAGTAATTTAACAACACTACCCGTAAAGTAGTGATTCTATAAATTAATTTTAAACTTTTGAACTCATAAAAAATTTTCAGATATCTTCGTTGCTCAATATTTAATTCAGTTAGTATTTATCGTATAATATGTGTTAGATATCATATTATTGTAAATTAAAAAGATAGTAGAATAGCTGGTTTACCAAATTCCTAAAAAAAACCTCAATTTTTTATTTGGCATAACATAAAACAAGTCAGTCTTTTTTTTTTTATTAATATTAAAACTTCATTCAACCGTATCTAATTTAATATACAACACTATACTTACCGTATTATTTATCATTAACAAAATACATTATATTTTTCACTTCATTGGTATGTTAAATATGTTAAGTTATTATTGAAAATTTTGTTGTAACATTTATAAATTATACTTTTATTTTAAATAATGGAATAATAATTTTTTCGATAGCATTACATAATTCTATAGGTAATTTTAAAAATAAATAAAAAACTTCGTTTTACTATAAAAATAGTGATTATAAAACTAACTGAATTTATTTTGTTCGGGGCAATAAAATGTCATAGTAAAGACGAGACGATTTTTTTTATCAATTTAATTTTGTACTAGAGCATAATTTGATGTGTTAAATAATAATTTCAAAAAAAAAAAATTACGTATAACTATAAAGTATCGTCAAACAAGGAAAAATGTTCATTTGATATTTTTCGAAAACAGTTTTTAACAAATAAAACTTTTATTCTTTGTAATGTGTTATTTTACAACAACTACATGTAAGTAAGTAAGATACACATAATAAACTTTTGCAAACGAAAAATCCCAAAAAGTATTTAATGTATTTATTTAATACTAGTTAATAATTGACCGTCCATAAAATGATAACTATAAAAATAATTAGTTGTTGAGAAAAAATATTAATGTGAGCGAAAATTCTCTTGTTGATAAAAAAAAATCACAATCTACTTAAACAAAAATACATTATAATTATCAATAGTGTACATCAATATTTGTCTGTAAAATTGATTTGATTTATAGCCATAGGTAGTAAACTAAAATGAAAAAATTGTGATGTAGTTTTTAAAAAAATGTAATTGTGAAAATATATAATATTATTTTATTATTGTCGATAATAACATTAAGTTAATTGGTCAATGTAAGTAATGTATAATAAATTATTTTTAGACTGAAATATTACAATTCATATCCGCCATTGTTGTTGATTTTAGTGATCTAGCGTATCTGAATATTCTTGTATTTTATTACGAATAATAGATACTTTTGTTAATGTAAAACTCTAAGTGGCTACTCTTTAGAAAAGTGTTCAATATTTACGTATTCAAAATAATGTACTGTGTATTCGATTGATGTACAGATTACTTTAAAATCTTCGACTGTTCGAGCATTTTTTAATAGATCAGTGCAGTGATAACGAGAATCGGTTAAAATTATACCATCTCTTTTATGGATTCATTAATATTTCTATTATTTTTTTATAAAAGATAAATTATATTTTTATGATAATTATTTTGATTTACGATATGTATTAATATATTAGAAGATATAATTATATATTTCTATGTACAAGTATAAGCCTATACAGGCCCGTACTGGCTTCAATCAGAGGGCGCGGGAATACAATTATGAAACAAACCCAACCAATTTACTATGTGAGGCATAGGGAGCACTGGGAAACTTCCGAAACCTAAAATCCCAACGGGCCTGAACCTGTATAGATCGATATAGTTGTATCTGTAATTATATTATTTACAGTATTCACTTGTTAGTTACCGGTGTCTTTATTTCTACTTTTTGTATGATTATACTTATGAATTGAACTTCAATGATCATATACTATTAATTGAATCCCTATATATTTTTTAATAACTTTTATTTATAGCCACAACTTTTTCTAATATTAGACTTATAAAAAATACACACAGTATTGATTTATTTCGTATGCGCCGACACTGTAAAGGTCACGCTACGATCAATTGAATTGTTGTATGGAAAATGTTTGGTTAGTATTTTTCACTTTCAGTTGAAGTTAAAAAATATATTCGAGTTCATTGGTGGCGGAAACTATTTTTTAATTTTTGAAGAATTAAAACATACTATAATACTTTCAAATAAATTAATTGATCAGATAAATGTTTTTAATCAATGCATCAATCATTTTGAGATCATAAAACACTCACATAATAAAATGTACTAAAGGATGTTATCACAACTCCTTATTTTTATCATACAAAATAAAATAAAAATAGTGATATCGTTTGCTACTACTTGAGATATTTTTTTGTTTTACTTTTATGTTGAGCTATCATCTATTTTTAAACTAAAATGTCATTATTATATTTTATAAATGTGTTTTCTTTTTAAGAATTTTTTTATTTATTTGATGAACGAAAATAGTTTTTTAATTATTAAATAAACATATATTACTATAATCATACATTTATAATAAAGGTATACCCGTGGAAGACCCATGAAATTAAATAGAATTTTGTTATGTTGGAATAAACATCCTGTACGTCAAACAATAATACTAATCCTTATATTCATTTAAATACATTTTTACTAATTTTTATTTTTTGTATTATTATTTATCAGATATAAATTACTACCAGGCATAATTATTTATTTTATTTCAACTACAAAATTATTGTTTAGTCTAAGTTTTGATTTGTGTAATATTAAAATTAAATAAAAACCTGTGATGTAATAAAATTATTTAGTAGCTATAAGATTTAGTTTTAGGAATGCTAATAAAAGATTCATTATAACATTTTGAAAAAATGATCTGTGTATTTTTTAACTTACCCTCAAAAATGTCAAACTTGAGTAGATCATCAGTCACTATCTTAGCGCTGATGTTCAGCTGTGCTGTTTGCTGATAGTTTCTGGACGGGAACTTAAACAGTGACATACACGTTACCTTCCTATGCTGCTCCTCAGTCATAATAAAGTTGTGTCAGGTTGACAGCCGAGTAAAAAACTCTCAAATCATAAATTAAAGCCCATCCTAAATATTTGGAATAAAAGCCAAGGAGATGAAGATATTTATTATATTAAATAAATATTAGTTAGAAGTTAGAAAATAACTGTATAGTTATTTAGTCATTTAGCTATTTCATTTCATGTTGTTTAATATTATGGTGGGTTGTTTTTTAATAGTTTCACAATGTCTTTAAGAAGTTGTCGCCTGAGATAGATAAGGTTGTAACGTAATCTTGTTAAAAAAATGTTTTTCATAAATACATTATAAAATTTATTACGCATTTTTTAAACCATAAATAAATTATTTTTAAAAACTATTAAAATTTAAAAATTATCTATTTTACACTAAACCCTTTTCATTTTAGGCGACGTAATACAGTTTTTAATAATTTGGTACCGCAAAGTTCCTTTATTATTATATTTTTTTTAATGACGACTCATCACATTTCAAAATCTTTGATGTGATAAGCAAACAAAAAAATGTTTTCACCAGTGATGGTGGTAAATGATGATCTTAATCATAAAAAAAGTATAGTATTATCTGATTAAAAAAAAATATTATCTATTTTATATTGTTTGAATCCAAACAAATATTAATATGTTTAATTTATAATAAACAATTTTTGATTGGCTTTTTATTGAAAATATTTTAAGCATCTTTATTATTATCATAAGGGTTTTTTTTAGACTACTTCCTAAACACATATTGCCCTTAGCTAACAGTTTAAAAGTATAATTTAAGCTTTTGTGAAATAAACTTTTTTTTTCTTTTAACCAAATTTGACAAGTAACAAAACAACAAGTTAGAACAATAGTAACTGGCCGAATACTATCTAAGTATATGACCAATTACCGCGTGGGCTTGCTGTCTCTCAGGGGCGTAGGTTAATAGAAGTTTTTTATTTATTTGTTATACACTAGTACGTTCGACTATTTCCATTTCAGTTGTACCTGTGCTTTCGAACATTCAGCACTGCTTTAGGTAAGTGAACATTTACTATTATTCCTCACAGTCTGTATTTCACTGTATGGTGCACAAAATATACTTTTATTAATTTACATTATAAATATTTTTTTTGGAAAAATCATAAATTCAGTTATTTATTTTAAAGTTTAAAATAATTATTTTTATGGAAAAATACATGTTTTTATTTATACAAACAATGATATCTTCCCTTATACTGCAATATTACGTATCTAAAAAATTGACAAAATGCGATTATTGTAATATTGTATTTTATAATAAAACTATCTCTTTTATTAAAACAAGTGAAATTCAAATTTAATTTTTGATTATTCTAAAAATTTGCAAAAACAGATATGTATTGTATGATTACTCATCATATGATCATATTAGGTCAGAAAAAAAGTCAATCATTATTGATAATTTAACATTTTTTTCATAAGAATAAAAAAATACTTTTTCTGAACTTATAGATTAAAAATACAAGAACTTTAAAAATTCTGTTTTACTGAATCAAAATAATCTACTATATTTAAATATTCACAAATTTACCAAATAAATCATTTATTTGTAGATCATTAATTATAAGTGATCACTTTATTTAAACAATATGTGTTAAAATAAACTTAGATTAAGTTACTGATAGAATCTCCGATAATGCTTTTAATAATAATAATAATTACTAACGCTAAGCCAAAAATTAGTCAAAATAAAATTTATATGGAAAATTAAATTATTTATATTTATGCTCCAAATAAGGGATCCAGAAAACCGGGAGTTTTCTTTGAAAATTCACTACTTGTTTCAATTAATTAATCATTAATGAAATAATATATCATTGAACTATTTAATCAACAATGTATATCATACATATAACATGTCTAATATAAAAGGTACTAACATAATATAATAATGCAGTATAATAAAATGCACGTTTATTATTTGTGTACAACATGATCAAAAATTTAACAAAAATTATGTACATTATATTATACACAAAATTAAGATAGTTGAGTCGTTCAGTTGCAAAAGGACGTATGTCGAATTTTTTTTTTTGGTAATTTTGCTTTTTTGAAAGAATTAGCCTACAACTTGAAAGAAAAACAAAATTAAAAAAAACATTTTTAAACGTGCGTCCTTTTGCAACTGAATAACTCATGTTGTGCCAGTTGCAAAATTCAATTAGATAAAATGTCCAAAGTAATTTAGAAATTCACTGAGTGTTCATTTCTGAAATTATTACTAAAATTAATTCGCGAAAAATTACATGACATACTTGTGCTGCCTAATTTATTTTACAATTTTATAATTTCGAAGAAATAATGAATTAATTAAAACTTTAGGTTTCCCAATAATAAATTTCATATTTATGTCTGTACTCAAAAATCACACATTTCGACTGTATATTTTTATTTGTGAAGTTTTTGTGCATTATAAAGAATTTTTCCAACTGAAATTCGGTTTGTAGAGGAACAATTTCAAAATTGTTAGTATTATACGAGTATGAATGTATTAAAACGATATTAATACCGAAAATAACGCCAAAAAAGATCGGCGACCGAGAGCAAATACACTTGAGAACTTGCCCAAAAATGGCTTTATCAAGGAAAACGCGTGTCCGAAACTGCCCACTCTTTTCATCGTCGTTTATAAACCTACGCTAATACGCGATATAATACAATAAAATATTATAAAATGATAATGCTATTATGATCATATGAGAAGTGTATACACACAGTAATGCAATTGAAAATCTCCATTACCCTTCTAGTTAAAAAAAACACGACCGCTGACACCTTCGTTTATCGTCGTCAACCTTAACCTAACAGCCCCCATGTTAACCTAGAAACGATTTTCTACTTTCAACAATAAATTCACTGACTCACGGATCTTTACTTTCCCGTTGCATTTCGTTTAATGTCAACTAACGTTTAATGAAACTTCCTAGTAAATTCAAGTCAGTTATCTTTTAATAGTAATCCATTTGAAGATACGATAAAATTCTTCACTAATTTTCAGCTATAGCATACATAAATATCAAGCTACAATAAAATAAAATATATTATAATATACTAATTATTAGTATTACTATTAATTTGAAAACTGACGAGTTTTTCATTAAAAATCACTCAAAATAATAATGCTTAAAAATAATAATAATATAAATTTAATCTAAGTATAATTAAGATCAGTGAACTGTTATGAGGAAGAGCACGAGTCCCCCTAAAAATCATGTACTGACCTAATTTTTACTGAAAAAGGTAATTTTAGTTAAATTAATTAAAAAATATATATTGATCATCAAAGTAATCATAAATATAGTTAGGGCTAACGAGACCCACCCTCCGGTCGTCGCGTTCACGTTTACTTATGTGTATTTATTTTTATGCGTTTACTTTAAATACAACATTTTATACGTGATTTATATATTGTATATTAAAAATATTAGTTTGAATTTATATTTGACATTATTTTAATATTAAATGAAATCAAGTACGAAATGCTTGTTCAGTATAATTAATTATACAGGATGATGCTTTTAACACTAGCTAAAAATTCAAGTGAGAGTTATAGTAAACATATGATTTCTATAACTCCCATTTAAATTTTTGGCTAGCGTTAAAATAATCACTCTGTAATATTTAAAGTAGACTAAAAAAATTATACGTAGGTTACTTAAAATACTGATTAAAGTAATAGATAAAAATATTTTACGCATTTTAACATTTTAAAATGGAAGAGGTTACTTGAGAGAGCACTTTACTTATTACCTTTGTAAGAAAAACATCCCACTTTTTGTAAGCCTCGCTATAAGAGTTATGGCCTTGACCACGCAAAATATTGGGATAGTAATACTGACCTAAGTCAGTATTATAATTTACGATACCCCACACTAATTATAACTGTAAGATTTAAACCCAATCGACTTACTACCGAATAAATTTTGTATAATCACTTATCTTGTGTGAAGCTCTCAACATTCTACCCGCTTACCTCATTTATCGCTGGTTTAGATTACAGATCATAAATGAAATACTGCGGCACTCCAGTTCATTATCTCAAGATAATAATATTTTAATTAAAATATTCAATTAAATTCAGGGACTGTGTTTCTGAGTCGGTAACATGGCATGATGTATATTGTATTGGGTTCGAGACTTAGTTATGATTGGCACCATTTGCTTCACCACAAAAAATTAATTATTTTATCCTATGCCTTGCAGTTGCTAAAACCGGCTCTGTCTTCGTTTTTTAATAACAGTCTATAATCGTGTTCCCTATCAATATTTCTATTAAAAATTTTTTCTAGAAGTTAAGAAAACCCAACATAATGGGGATGTAGTATAGTTGGAACAGGCATATATAATATCTGACTGTAATTAAAATCGCTACCATAAAAAACAATTCTATGGTTTGATTCTGATGAAAATCTGTAGATACTGTTTAATTTTTAGAAGGAATTATTGAATTTTTGCAAAAACTATAACTATTATTCTGATCCTTGTTAGTTAACTATGATTTCAGTTGAAATTTTAATTTGTCATAGGACATTAGAAGTAATATATTCGAGTAATTCTCCACTTTACGGGAATAAGAAAATGTTTGAAGGTAACCATAATTTGTTAAGTATTGTTTAAAAATCGATACAGTGAGAGCTGAAAAAAGTGGCAATAGACAAAAAATAAAAACATCATAGTGAAACTAATACCTTCTAAGGCTTGCATTAAATCTCAAAGTTATAAAAGTTTCGAAATAAAATTTAGGCTAAATTAATCCCTTTACCAACCTCAACCCTTAAAAACCCAATCATTTAAGTTTTCGTACAACAATTTATTTATTTTTTCTGAAATATACAATGTTTTCTCAAAAATCATACTTTTGAATTTGAAATTAAAAATAATAATTCGACTATTTTTACAAAAAAATTGTACAACTTTTTTACATGATAGTTGTTTGCACTACAATAACAAGTTTAGAGGTCAAATTAAAAAATAAAAGTACATAACATAAGCTTTAATTTAAGATATATTTAAAGGTGTAAGGATTTCCAGAACATTTTTCAAAAGTTAAGTTGCTATTTTAAATTCTTCCTTGGCAAATGGTTAGATTTTTTTAAACTTGCCTCATCACTTTCTTATTGTTTTCAATCATATTAAATTTTCATTCGTTTGAAACATTTCCGTTTTATTGACCTTATTATAAATGCTCCATAATGTAATGCCACTCCTTATTTACATCATATTGTTATAATGATGTGTTATGTCTGTAATAAAGTATTTCAACACTGGCACTACGATTTTCAAGAATTAATGTGAAATTCAAATACGAGGTCGCTTAGATTTTACAAAAGAAAACAAATCATACATGCTATGTCAAACTAAATTATCTTTAAACTTATTCTGTATTCAGCTTTATATCGATTCTAAATATATAGTTAAACAAAATTCCATAATTAGTCCTATTTTATAACAAAAAATAAATAAACAATCAAACACTAAATGTCTCATAAAACTTTAAGAGCATAGAATTAATTCTTTTTTAAATATAAATTGCTCTCAATTATAGCCATTAATTCATAATAAACATATTTTGATAAAATTTCAAACTTATAAATGCATCATAAACTATGATTATGATAATATAATAAAATATAATATAATTGAGTTTAATATTTTTTAGTTTTTTAAATTAATAATATTTTTAATATAGTTTTAATTTTACTTATGATTATGATACATTATCAATTCAAAAACAAATGAGAATAAAAGTAATTTTGAATAGTAATCGATATGTTTTCTTTAATTGCGTAATCTTATGCATCGGAAACCATTTAAATAACTCGGATCATTTTCATACACAGGGAATTATTGTTTTTTTTATACATTATATTAAGTTGATAAAATAAGTAGGCAATAGAATAAAAACTTAATATGAAATTTATACACAAATAAACGTTTTGTTGAAAATTCAAATTATGTATACAAGAATAAATATATATTATCAACATAAAACAATAAATATTTATCCGATAATTTAATGTATATCAGAAAATGTTACAAGGTAATAATTTCATTAAAATGAGTTATTAAATTTACATCGCGTGACAAATGTCAGTGACATTTAGCTGGTTGGTACGAATTTAGGTTTAACTTATAAGATAAAATTAACTTTTCTAGGACTTTTTTTTATTTTCCAAGTTTGTGATTTCTATTGAAACGAATAAATAAAGTTAATAAACCAGGTCATCTCTTAGTTTACCATCGAGCATTACCTCAACTTCAGTATATCTTTATAATTTGATGGTAATTACTCTATATTTTAAGATTGCATTTATATTATTTATATATAAATATAAACACTAAAATATTGAGCACTAATAAACGATATTCAAAGTTTTTTAAAGTCAACCAAAAGAATATTTTTATTTTTGTCAATAAAATTTTTTAAAATATAATTTATGAATAAATAAATAATATAAAATAATTATTATTTTATAATTTTTATTGTTATAAGCCATGTATATATTAATTGTTCGATTAAAAATAAATACATGCTTTAGTCTCCGCATGTTTTTTGTTATAATAGTTGCAAAAAAAAATGTGTACATATTTTGACATTCCTAATGTTCATCTCTCTTATAGCACTGAAATAACGCTAAAAACACAAAATAAGATGTATAGTTGCTTGAATTGTTTACGGATGTATCCATGTTTTCAATTATGAGCTGACGTTTCGGACTCGTTGCAGAATCCATTTTCAGAACGATAGTGACAGACGAGCGGTTGTACTTTACTGTACTGAAACGACAGCTCGTAACTGAAAACATGGATACGTCCGTAAAAATTTCAAACAATACGACAATCCATGAAAACTTTAACACACTCTAGCAAAATAGTTCTTAAATTTCGAAATGTGCAACAAAAAAATTCGTATTTAACTTAGTGGTTATCTGAAACAAATTGATAACTTACGTTAGAAGTTATCAATCTTAGTAATGGCAGAGTTACAACAGGATATTTTAAGACAAAAAATAAAAATAAATAAAACAAGTCGTATTTTCGAAGAAAATCTACTCATTAAGTTTTCGTGTTTTAATTAATTAATCACATAAATGGTAACTAAACATGAATAAAAAAAATATTAATAAATTTTATTATAAAAGCAATAAGCAAATATACAATTGATTTCATTTAACGTTTTCAACATTTTTTTAAAAGTATTTTTATGCAGAATTACATAATTACATGATAGTGATGTTATGCATTATCAGAGATCAATTTATAAGTGAGTCCATTATGCTATATCCTTGACTGTACCATTAAATTAAGAGATTTTTTATTTAATTTATTCAAGTAAATATTATTTAAGTTTTTTGGATTTATAAATCAACATATTGGTGTCACATATTGGTATAAGTTACACGCATGTGTGAATAAAATAAAAACAAATCACAATAAAATAACTACCTATTCAGCTTCATATTGAAGCTAATATGTAGCTAATATTGAAAATTTAGGTTATATATTAATTCAAGTGCCATTTATAGAATACGCTAATATTGTGAAGTTTCCAGAATACCTGAATCTTGTCTGTAATGCACCATACTCTGCATCTATTTATTTGAAAATTTAATTAAATATTAAAGCATAATGCTAGATAAAAAAATATAACTCAAATATTATGTAATCACGTTAACATTAATTTTTCTTTAATTCTTTTTCATTCAAGGTATATACAAAAATTTCTAAAAAATATTATTAAAGATGGGCGGATTCCAACAAAGGCAATGGACACCTACAAAGAGACGTGGTCCTATAGCAGCAGAATTTTCTGGACCTGGCCCAGCAGCTGTAACTTTACCTTCACTAGTAGGTTAGTTCAAATATATATTCATTATATAGTATATACTTCACTAGAATAGTATGAATAACGTATTTTGATTTGATTTTCAATATATATCAGTAACTTTACACCAAGTAGGTAAGATTAGATCTATGCGTCCTTAATCGAATCTTCAATATTTTTTCCTGTACAAGATCCATCCTGGTAGTTCAATAATAATATTTCAAAAATATATTCCAGATTGACCAAAATCTGATATATTTTCAATTAATTAACCTAAAGCATCATTAATTACCCAGAATATCATTTTGAGCCATGATGTTTTAAAATGATATTCTATACTAGTGTTAAAATTTTATTGGGTAATCTATAAAAAAAAAACCGGAATGATTATAAATATTTTTTTATATCGTATTCAAGTTAAAGCGCACAAAAGGGTGTGAAAACTTAGAAGAATGCCCGGAGCATCAAAATAATAGCCTGTTTCGTATTTTAAAAATTGTTTTTTAATATTTTTTTGTCGCTAAAAATGTCACTTTGGCTAACATAAAAATTTTCAAAACTGAAAAATATTTTATTCTTTAATTTTTACTTTTTTCATAATTAAAATAACGATTGCATATAAATTTTATCATCGATTAAACCCTAAAGATAATTTTTAATAATTTTACAGGAAATATCGTACCAGAATCTAAAAGAGGACGAGCACCAGCTTTTAGCTTTGGAGCGAGGTCAGTAACTGTTTTGGATTTTTTTATTTGTTGAATAACTAACAAAACTGTTAGACGTCGTTAGTTGAATATAGTGAACCGGAAAATATTTATTTCTTAGCGCCTAATGTCTGAAAAAATGTATGCTCCTAGAATTAGCATCAATATTTTGCAATTTTACTTTAATTTCTTAAGATTAGTCATCAAAGAAAAAACAATTCAAATTTAAAAACTACTGTAAATTAAAAGTTTTTTTTTTTTTTTTTTTTTTTTTAATACATACACAATCTATACACTATCTATACACAAACGGCACAATAAGAGTATTAGCTAAGATAAACAAGAATGAAATATTGAGTGAAGAAGCCACCCACCGATGACACTTTCGTCTTTTAATTATTTTGTTTTGTCCTTATACGCAAATTTATATATTTTTTTTTTTTTTATGGATTGAGTAGGTCTCTGCACCATTTACGCTTAAGGCGGCGAGGAGGGTTACCAGGGATGGTTAATGAAGATAGATTTTTTATGAGCTCGTTTGGATGAGAGCTAAGGCGTAGGTGGAAACGTTTATAATAATTTTTTGCCTCTTCTTGAATTGTTTTCATACGTAGATCTTTATGCAGAGAGTGATTTGACACATATGGTGGACAATTGGTAATTTTTCTTAGTATTTTATTTTGGAACCGTTGAATTTTATTTAGGTTAGAAATTTTTGCGTTGCCCCAAAGCTGTAAGCCGTACGTCCAGATTGGCTTTAGGAGAGATTTGTAAAGGAGTAGTTTAATATTTAGGTTTAAGTGTTTGTTGTTGACGATTAGGGTTTTGAGTATTTGTAGGCGGGAGTTTAATTGTGATGTTTTGGCTTTGATGTGTTGAGCCCAAGTAATGCGGCGATCAATAGTTAGCCCTAGGTATTTAACGTTTGGGGATGAGGGAATCCGAGTGCCAAAAATTGATATCTCTGGACATGGTGCTAATTTAAGTGTGAATGTAGTATGTACTGATTTGGCTTGGTTTATTTTAAATCGCCACTTTTTGTACCAATCTTCCATAAGTGAGAGATGATTTTGTAGGTTTTTGGAAGCTATAATAGGATCTGAACTGGATGATATTATGACTTTATCATCCGCATAGTCTGCTACTAAAGTGTTGGGTGTGGTCGGTTGGTCGGATGTATAAATATTGTAAAGAATTGGGGAGAGTATTCCGCCTTGCGGAACGCCTGCCGCAATTCCTGCTATATTAGAGTCCGAAGAGCCATAATGAACCTGAAAGTAGCGGTCTGTGAGATATGATTTCAGTATTATGTAATATGTTGGGTGTAGGAATTGCTTTAATTTGTATAGCAGACCTTCGTGCCATACTCTGTCGAAGGCCTGGGATACGTCAAAAATTAAAAGTTGCCATCAGAATTGTATTTTCGGTTAGAAATAATTGATTAAATTTTATGCGATAAGATTATTTATAGAGCAATTGATTGATTGATCACTATTCAAAAGGTCTAATATATTAATATGAACGACTTGCCTGTGTCTAAGACGTTTATATTTGATTCCTTAAAACTTAATGTCTACTAAGCTATTTAGCTTAGGTAAAAATGGTAAAATTTCTTCTGGTATCGACGTGTTTTGAATTAATTAAAAAACAATGAAATCGATTCTGTTTACACTTACACGTCGCATACTAATACTCAAAGTTTAATCGTAGCTGATGAGCAATAGTGCGGTCATTAAATATCAATGTTGGTAAAAGACTAGTAATCTATTCGTAATAGGAATAAAAAAATATTTTTAGATTTTGATCGTCAAAAAGATATAGAGAGCGAATTGAAATATGTTTGAACATAGTATATAAATAAACATGAATAAATAAATTAAAATTAGGTTATGGTTTTTCTCTAAATAACGAGTTATGAAAAAAAAGTTATATAATTACAAGAAACTTATTTTTATATTCCAATCATTTTCTTGTAAATCTAAGGAGTATCGTAAAAAATAATAACGAATAGCATCGCCTTGTGGTTGCAACGGTTCGGAAGTAGACGTTTTAGAAACGCCAAAAATATGATAAATAAGTTAAACTAAAATTTTTCTTGAATATACAACGATTTTGACATGAAACTGATAAAAAGTATGTTTTGTTTCACTTTAAATACTCTAAAGTAAAATAATCCAGTAACTTAAATCTAGTATAACTGTTAAACAATAAAGCAGTATCGCCTCAAAAATGAATAATTATTTTTTTGACACTATTTATACAAGAAAAATCATCTATAATAATAGCTATAGAAGGCAGTGGTAAAGTCAAGGGTAGAGGCCACTGTAAAATTTATTTATGCAAAATAAAACAATTTAATAATACAATTTGAAAGATTGAATTAAAAATATAATTACGGATTCAAAGAAAATAAATAAAATTATCATAGACTTTAATTAAGTTCTACTTTCATAATTTAAATCAAACATTTTTTGATACTTATTAATATATTTTATATTTTAGACACAACGAAAAAAATGAAAATGCTGGACCAGGACCTGGACAATACAATATAACTGGACTAAGTGCAAAAGGTAAAATAGATCATTAAAAGTTTTATGAAAATGTACAGAGTGATGATTTATCGTTGACTACTCAATTTTTAAAAATAATAATAATTTAAAAAGAAATAGATTTTATTAGGTATTAAGTCTATCCCTTATAAGGTACCAACTGAAATATTTGAAAAAATTTAATAAAATCACAAATATTATTTCGACATAGGTGTCTTTACTATTGAAATATTTAAGTGTACTCTCTACTGGTGAAGCCAGAACTTTTATAGGAAGTTGACTAGATTCAAGCTAAGTCTTCGGTAGATACATATAGTCAGGGAATAAACTTATACATGGTGTTCAGTAAGTAAAGAAATAGTTTAATTGTTACAAACAATAAGAACAATAGAAACCCGTTTTTACTTACTGAACACTATTTGTATTTATAAATTTTGTATAAGCTATTTTGAAAAAATCCATCTTCGTAAAATTTTGATTACAGGAACATACAATTTTCATCTCAGAGGGGAGTAAACTGTATTATATCCGTACATAATTTCATAAATTTAAGTCCACAACGTCTTTAAATGTGCTCAGACCAACCCATAGTGCTGCTATGGTACTTTTTAAATAATAATATTCGTCGACTTCTTATGGAAACTTCTTGTGGAAACTTATTTATGGTTACTTTTATACTTTTTTAAACTATACCTATTACTATTATTTACTGTATAATTATATGATTTTTTAAAAATAAATACAGTTTCAAAATTAAAAATACCGTTTTTACGATTTTTTTTAATTAATTAAAATATTATGATGATACAACAAATAGGGTAGTAACAAATTTAAAAATAAAATTACAAAAATTACCGTTAATGAGTTTTCGCACTAATTTTTCCGATACCTATGTGTAAAATATCTATATTATATAATATTAAGAGTAAACAAATTACAGGTAAAGATACGCCTCCTGCAGCTACTTTACATTCAAGACCAAAAGAAATGAAACCAGATAATTTTCCAGCACCAGGTGATTATAACCCGGAAAAGGCCGAGAAAATTCTTCATGAACATTCTCCAGAGTACACATTTGGTTTAAAAACGCAAATAGAAAAGCCAAATCCTAATCCAGCCCCAAATGTGTATAATATACCAACAGTACTAGGCGCTGCAAAGGAAGGACATTTTAAAGCAGCACCATCATTTAGTATATCTGGACGAACTAAAGAATTTCCTGATGGGAGATTATTAAATCCTGGACCAGGAGCATACAATGATATTAGTTCAGATAGTGTAAAACCCAAATCACCGGCATATACTGTAAGTTCTAGGTATAACATTCCAGGAGATACTTCCCCACGACCAGGCCCTGGTGCTTACTCGCCAGAAAAGGTTAGTTAAAATATAAAATAATTATTAAATAAATTCAAAACTTTCATTTGAAACTATTATATATATATATAATTTCTTTAATAGTGATATTTTTAAGTAAAAACCTTATGATAAAAATCACAAATCTACCTTATTTAAATAATATAGACATAAATAAATTCAACAGAGTAGAATAAAAAAATTGGTATACTTTGTCATTATAGGCGACAACAGTAAAAGCTTCGGTACCAGCTTATTCTTTTGGAATAAAACATTCTCAATATGAAGGACTCATATATGAACAATAATATGTTAGTTATTGAGAAAAAATTATTCTCAAACATTGGTGCGTATATATGCCTAAAAGTTAGAGAGGATACCGGAGACTCAGTACTTTATTCTCACTACGCTTGTTACGCGTCACCATTTTCATTTTCCGAAAATTTAGTAATCTCTGCATTTTTTTTCTCTCCGAGCTCTATACAGGAACAGAAAATAATGCTTTAGCAGGAGATTATTACTCTGGTAGGATAGTTAGTCGGTTACTAAAAAAAAAGATGGCTACTCTAAATACTGAGCTAATCTTTCACTCAGCAAACGTAGTTACCCATCACCGAACCTCTAATCCTTAACAATGCGCATAGTGCATTGCCACATTACCGACTCATCCACACCATTATTGCTTTATTAAAAAGAACCAGTATAGTTGAGGCTTAGTAAGGATTCAGCGTAGTGTATAACAGTATACATTTAAAACTGAGTGATTCATAAAATCATTATCATTAGACGCTTCAAAGCAAAAAACCTTAAGAGTTAAAAAAAAAAAAATTTAAGTGAGGGATTGATCATCTAACCACCCCTATATCATATCTACGAAATAGACACTAATTTCTTCTAAAACAAATCCTACCTAAAAGATTTTTTTTACACTAGTTCATATAACGATACTTAATTTTCTTTTTTTTTTTACAAATATCGTACAATTTTTTTTAAATTTGATAACTGTTTACTAGGACAATTCTTAGCTATACAGGTTAATTTTTTTTTTTTGAATAAAAATTACACCTCCTAGAATTGTTTTATTAGATAAAAAATAATATGTAAAAACTCGGTTGAAATTGAGTAACTTTAATACGTGTCAATAAACCCTGATAATTAAAAAAAAAATGTGGTGGTAGTTCGCAACCAGTTCAGGATGATTTATTACGGATTGTCCCAAATTTAAATACAAATATGAACTATGAACGAAAAAAAATTATGTATTTTTACATAGTTCAGATTTTTTTGTTTTAACTGATTAAAAACGATTAAGTTAAGTTAGTCATTTTCATTTTTTAATACAGAATAGTGTTTCAAAATTTTGCTACTTGATAATTATTTTTTAAGTTTGATATAACTTGATTTTTTTGTATTATGTTTTTAATTAGATATACACAAAAAACATATTAAAGAAAGCTTATGTCTCTAGTATTGCTGATATAAATATTATTTATTTATATTTGATTGTTTTTTTAATTCAGAAATATTAAAATGCAGAAAAAAAGCTGAATTTGAAAATAATGAAACTTAATGATATATAATAATTTATAAACCAAAAAATGTATGTTACTAAATAAAATATTCGCTACACGAATGTTATTTTAATAACTAACATAAAAAGAATTCTTTCTTTGTAAACCATGAAATCATTAAAATATTTTTAATTGAATCGAAACTTATTATCAATAGAAACTTAAGAATTATAAATTTTACTTTAAGTGTACATTACAATTTTTTTTCTCTTTTTTGGTCTATTGAGAGAGATTGCATCCTCCCCTAAGAGGAAATTTCTTTACCATGTGTACTCTGGGATGGGTGGGTTGTTAATCTATGGCTGAAAAGGGATAGCAACTCCAATTAATAATACTGATGTCTTGTTCAACAAACAGAGCCAAAAAATACATATTTAATCTATAATTAAAATACATGTGATAAAAATTAGAGAACTGACAATTGTAAGTGTGTCCATTTAACCCTCAATCTATGTGTTGCAAATTATATTATCCCCTGCAAACATTTTTAAATATGCTACTATTACACAAATGCAAAACTACAAATTATTAGTTACTTTTACTATTATTAATTATCAACACTTAAATGATACTTCTTTAAATAGCACACTTATGTTAATAAAATGTAAGTATAAGGCAAATAAGTAGCAACATAGAAACTATATGCACAAAAAGTTAAATTTGTGAAGATGGAGTAGTTTGAAATTAATAAATTCCTTTTTCATTATATATAAATTAATAAATGTAAAATAAATATTTCAGGTTCAAATTGACTTGCCACCAGCACATTCATTTGGAATCAAACATTCACCATATTCTCACAGTTTTGGCATTGGATACTAAAGAATATTAAAAGGAACTTTTTAACAATATGCAATATTGATCTAACAAAATATTGCATAAAAATCTTTAAATTTTCAGAAAAAAATATCAATAATTGTTTTAATTGTAATGAAATAAAAATTATTATTATTATTGAAAGAAATGGCAATCAAATAGTGTTAAATTTACTAACCAAAAAATTATTCATTTTAATTTAACCTACCTAGATGTATAACACAGAAAAAATAAAATAGTTATTGAAAATCTTGATAATAATGGCTTGTTCCATATATTTATTACAATGTGGTCAATAACAATGAATCTAATTACAGAAAAATTATGAATAAATTACATATTTTTAAAATCTCCTGTAGTATTTAGCATTAATATATTAGGATTTTCTTTTTCAAATTCAGTTGGAGCACGCTCTCGTTCATCATCACCCCATTCTCCAAGAGTAATCATAACATCCGGTTGTTGACTAAGAGCTTCTTCTTCTTTTTCAGCTAATAAGAAAATTTTACATCAATGTTGCTACTTGAAAATCAAAAGTAATTTATTTTGAATAACATATATTTAAAACTGATTAGCGTAGGTAATGTGATAAATATTGAAAAAAGTAAAAAAAAAATAAGAGTAAATATTATGATAATATTAAATGGTATACATTCACACCAGCTTTTAAATTATGGAAGAGAATAAAATACAGTTTTCTGCTTATTCATTAGATTTATTTACAAATACTTTTCTTAAAAAAAAATAAAAATAAATAAACTAAAAATCAATATAAATTTGTAAAAATAATATTGTTTTCTATAAAACTATTAAAAATTTGTTTATTTTTTATAACCACCTATAAATATAAGGTGTGTTCAAAAAGTAAGGTGACTTATTATTTTTCTCTTTTATATTAATATTTGTTAATATCCATTTTGTCTCCTTTAAAGTAAACCCCCTAAGATATTACATATTTGTGCCAGCGCTTTTTCCAATTATTAAACCACATTTAGTATAACCTTGATGTGGTTTTTAGCTCCTCAATATTCACATATCTCCGTTCTTCTAGGGATCTTTTCAGTTTTGGGATAAAAAATGCAAGGGACAAGTTTGGTAATTACAGTATTTGAGGTATGATAAAGGTGTTGTTTTACATCAAATTAAAACTAATAAACAGTAATGCGTGTGCAGTTACATTATCGTAATAAAAAAAATCATGAATTTTGTTGCTACATATCTGGGTGATTTTTTTCGTATTGCTTTACGCAAACGGCACATAACTTCAAGGTATTATTCGTTATTCACCATAAAATATGCTAACAACAACTCATGATGCATTATGCTATCAAAATAAAAAAAACTAGTGAGCAAAATCACACAATAGACCCCTAAAATAAAGCTAGATTAAGATAAAAATTATAGATTATTGAGATAAAGTGAGCCAATGAAATCGTCACTATTCTTATCTATACTATAGCAAAATTATCACATTTGGCTGAAGTTGTTGAGCTAAGGCATTCAAAGTGGACATCATTAAGGTCCTCTCTGCTTTCTGTGAAGAGCCTGTACTATTTATAAAATGTTTTTTTGATCATAGTAGAATTGCTAAATCAGAACACTTAATTTTATTTTTCATACAAAATTTAATGCAAATTCTACAATTTAATTTTTTTTGCATGAAATTGCCATGCTCACAAAAACACATTTAACACTTATAACTGCCAACAATAAACCAAAAATATAAAATGGCTAACAATGTGAACAAAAGTTGGGGATATTAGTAACAACATAATAAAAAAACTTCAAAATAGAATGAATATACCTGTGAAATTTAAAAAATCACCTCACGCATTGAAAAAATGTTACATTATATTTTTTAACAAAAAAATAAAAAATGGTAGCACAGTGGAGTCGTGACTTAGTGTAGACGTGGCATAGTTGGGATAAGTATAGATGATATCAGTGATTAAAATTACTATCAAAAGATATGTTTTGATGCAAATCTGGGTTTAATTTTAAGAAATTAGTGGATTATTCCAAAAGCAAAATTAACTCCTATTTTTTATTCTACTTCAACTGCCATTTGCACATAAAAAATAGGTCATCGGTACAATTTTTTTTTTTTGAACTTCTAGTACATAAAATTAGCTTTATTCAAACATATATTTAAAAGACGCTTTATCCCAGAACATTTTCAAAAGTTAAGTTGAAAAAGTTCAGCTTTTTATACAAGTTTTCAAAAATTTATAAAACCTTTTCTTAACTTTGAAAGGCAAAATAATCAAAATAAGTATAAATTTATAATATAAATTTATACTTATTTTGATTATATATTAAATATTATTTAATATAAGTTTATGTAAATTTTATATTTATTGGCAGACTTATTACTATGGCACACCCTTATGAGATTTTTTAAAATAAACAAAAAAAAGTTGAACTTGAACACAAAATAGCATGTTTTTTAACTACGGCAGCCATTTGCATAAAGAAGATAGGTTGTCGGGACAATTTTTTTTTTTTGAACTTAAAGTAGATAACATTAGCTTTAACTCTTAACGGGGAACAAGGGAAAATTTTTTCAATTTTTGAGGATAATGTCTTCAACTAGATACGATTTGTGATCTTTTGACATATCGTTGAGAAAAATCAGTTCTGTGAAAGCTGAGAAAAAGTAGTGACAAAAAAATAAATAATAATAATAATAAATACATTATGGTAAATTTAATACCTTTTCAGCTTCACATTAAAACTTTGTCATGTAATTAGCTTAAAAAATATCGCCCTCTCCCCAAAATAAGTGAACTACTTATTTGAGAAACAAGGGCAGTTACAAAATTATGAAAAACTAGTTTTTTATTGTATTGTAAATTTAATGGACAAAATGTTTTTAAACATTTTCAAAAATTTCAAAGATTTTTGGAAAAAAGTTAGGAAGTTTTCTAAAACTTTCAAATAAATATGTGTACTTAAGAATAAACATGTATTCAGTGTTTGATGAAGAAACTAGAGGTTAACTTACAGTAGTAAGTCTAACATTTCCAAATGATGCATATTCAAAGTTTTCAAAAGTCAAAATAGAGATATTTTATTTCTACTGTATTTACTTGATTTCCCATTAAACTCTTTCACTCTTAAGGCAATTAAAAACATTTACTGTAATCTAATAATTTAATACTTTGGTCTTTTCTCAAATTATTGGTTCAAATGTTTAGTTGCGCCACTTAACATCATTCCTATTTTTTTTTGTTTTAAGAAGATACTTACTATCTCTTTTAGCAAATTTCTCAAACATATTTGAATAAACTGATTTTTCTAAACTTTTTTGTTGTTTGAATTTACTATCACATTCCGTTATTTTAGCAATAGCAGCACGATTATGTGGTTCTTTTTGTAAAACTGCTTTAAAACAATGTTTTGCTGCATTTAATTCATGTAAGCCTATTAATGCCTGAAATATAAGTAAGATTTTTTATTAATAAGTACCAAAAAACACATAAAAAGGTATCCAAATGTGGGAAATTGTTTTTCATAAACTATATATTATTGTATAAATTAAAAAATTAATTAATTTAATGTACTTGCTTTCCTACTATATATATATATATATATATATATATATATATATATATATATATATGCTGGAACTATAATTGATAAAAAGTAATGTAACTGCATACCAGATAATAAAGAAATTTGATATAGAGTGTCTAACGACGTTTTAATATCACTTATAACTTTTGATCCAATTACAATTTTGTTTAAAATTTTCTTTTAATTATTAGAGATAAAAAATATACTTTTAATAAAATCTAAGAAGCCAATAATTGTTTATAAATAAATTTCAACAAAATTATAAATAGATTAAGTTACAAAAGAAATCAAAACATCATGGGACATCTTGTATTCTAAAGAAAGTATTATAAACATCTGGTATATTAGTACTTAGATCTATACTTACAATCTTGGAAATGTCATGGTAAATTAAAAATGAATTTTATGTTGTTGCCTACATTCTGTGTTTTAACTCTATTTTAATGCATAATTTAAATTTTTTTGTCCTTTTTGGTGCAGAAATATTTTTATAATTTGTAATTTGAATATAAAAATAACAAAGCACAATAGCAGTTTTAAAAAAATATAATTTAAGTTTGCAAGAAGTTATCAATATAAAATAATTACTATTTGTACACTATAATATTGCTTTGCATTTTAACTATTGAAAATATACTAAAAAGAAAATATTTTCTGTAAACATTTTTATTCAATTAATAGAGAAAATTAAAGGTAGTTATCTCTAATAAATTTTAGGTAACATGATTTTTCAATATAAAAATATACATTATCATCCTCCATCTACCATACACAACTTTATTTGTAAATATAAAATTAAAAACTAAGTTTTACTATCTTATATTTATTCACAGGTCAGCCATATTTGCTCTCGAAATATTTTTCTATTTTTCAATTTTTATGAAGATATAGTAAGTGACCTTTCCTTTTCCTTATAAAGTGCCTTATCTTCCCAATCAATAAGATTACATTAATAAGGTTAACAATTTTTTTTGTATAAATACTTAAATCTCAAAATGTAGTAGTAATACAACATAATATTTTATTTAAACAATATAGGGGTTTTATTATTAGATAAATCTTAAACTCCAATTTTTAATTATTCAAGCTTAAAATATCATATATTTTAAGGATTAATAATTTAAATAATAAAATTGTATTAAATTAAAAAAAATTATTTCAATTAATAATTATATTAAAAATTATTAATAGTCCCAATTGTGATGATTATTAGAATATTTGATTAATATTATTTTCGTAATTGTTAATCAATAATTTTTAAGTCAAAATATAAAAAACTAATTATTGCAAAGTTTGAATATTTAACTGGGTTATTTAATATACTGAAAATATGATCTCATAAAATAAAAATGTATGTAATAAAACTACTATACAATTTAATTAAATAATAGTTATACCTCTCCTTTTCTAAACAAAGCTTTGACATTAAAGGGATCTAATTTTAATGCACTGTCACAATCATTTTTAGCTTGAGTATGCCTATTTGATTTTAAATTGCACATTGCAGAATTTAAATAAGATACTACTGTAAGGAGCTTTACTTCTTCTACTTGAGTTTTGTTTACTAAAAATATTTAAAGTTTATTACAGTTATTTTATATCATAGTACTATAAATTAAAATATAATTTACCTGAAATATCATCTTTTAAATATTCTACCATTTTTTTATAGAATTTAAGAGCTTGTTTGTAATTTTCTAATTTGTAATAATCAGTTCCCTTTTGTTTAAAATACTTAGCTTGTTCAATTCGATCTTCACTAGTCAATGACCAGCTATCTTCAAACTAAAATGTTAAAGAATATATCAATATTCTTAAAAATAATGATTCATATTACTAATTTAAAATATTTATATAAACCAGGCATGTATTTAAGTATTTTTTTAAAATTAGACTAAAGAAAATTTTTATTACTTGAAAAAAAGTTTTCATAATTTTGAAGTGTTATTAAAAAATTAAAAAAAATATATAGATTACATATTATTATATATATATCCCAAGTAGTTGGGATTAAGGCGAGGAAGAAAAGAAGAAGAAATATTATTATATAGATATATTTATTACAAGAAGTAATAAAATTATTGTTTAAATCCTGTGGAATTCACTGTTATTTTCAATTATATTGACTATTTCAGACCCGAGAGGCAAAAAAATTTAGCTAAAATATTTCGGCAAAACTAATTTGATTAGTAATGCTTTCAATACATTTTTCTTTAATAAAAATAGGGTTTTCCTAATTATCCACGTGTATATTATACTAACTGGAATATATTTGTTATTGTTTTTGAGAATACTAAAATACATATTTTAATGTTGAATAGTTCTACATCTATTGTGTAACTTACAGCAAACAAATATAAAACAAACAACATTTTCTCGCACCTTATTATGTCCCTGGGGTCTGAAATGGTTAAATAATTATTAATATAGAACAATTTTAGTTGACTCTTAACATTGAAAATTATCTTGCAAAATTAAATTTTGACTTATTGACAACTGCATGTTTATTTTTATTGATTCAAAATTAATTAAGTGAAGACAAAATAAAATTGTATTTTGTTATCATGAACTAAAAAAATAATTATAATAAGTCTTTATTTTAAGTTACATATAATTAAGTAATAATTTTATAGTTATGTACTTAAATTTTAAATAAAAAAGTTAGTTGGGAGCAAAAAAGAATGATATCAAAAAAATTAACTGTATTTTAAAACATACTTTTTCAAAAAAGTTTAGCTTTACAACATACACCTCTTCATAATTTTCAATACTAGGATTTAGGAATGTATGTTTTCCATGAATAAATAATCTAGATTTCTCTTGGATTTTGAATTTTGTTAAAGCTTGTTCTATTCCTGGACATATACCATGTACTTTGCCTTCTCCTAATCTAAATTCTACATTTACTTCTTTAATTTCACAGCCATTTTCTTCTTTCAATAAATTTATATTAACCAATGATACATTTCTTGGAGTATCATATCCACTTCCATGTTCTAATATTTGTTTAGTTATACTTCCATCTTTTTTACGACTTATATCTTCCCAAACACAATTTATTAAATGTATTTCAAAAGTAATCCATGTATTTGGAGGAATGATATTCTCAAAACCATCTTGACCATATCCATAATTTGGATGACATTTAAATTTTGAAATTTCACCACAAGACATAGAAGATACTGCTAACTCAAAACCTTTGATAGTCATATCTATACATATAAATAAGTTAAAAGGTATAAAACATTGTTTTTTTTATATCAAACCTTTTCCTATAATAAATTGAAAAGGGACATCATTAGTCTTATCAAAAACTTTACCATCTGGAAGGGTACCAGTGTAATGAACAAACACTTTACAACCTTTATGTGGCCTCTCTATTCCGTTTCCATGTATTGATATTTCTTTAAGTACTCCACCATCTAATGAATGTGTTATATCCATAGTTAAATTATAGTACAATTTGGTAGGTGTATTTGAATAGCTATGAAATTTGAAATTTAAAATCAATTACTAGGAGCATTAACTACAACTTATAATATATATTGTATTTATTTTTAGAAATAGTAGATAATTAAGTAAATATAGACAAAAAGCCTATTGTTATTTATATATTAGGATAAATAGAAACAAAATGGTACTTTGATTGAAGGTTTACCTTGTTTTCGACAACTTTTAGCAGATTTACCTTATTTGAATAATTGAATGGTTACTAAAATAAAAAGTCGATGAATATCGACATATTATATTTACGGAGCATTTCAATGATAAAATTCGATATGAGACTGTATTTCACATTAAATTATTTAAATTATTACTATTGACAATTGTTATCAAAAACAAATAATTCAAATTTTTTTATCATAATATGATTATTATCTTTAACACAATTCGTTATTTATGGTGAGTTAGACATATAATCTACAAACATTTCAAAAAATTCCCTTCGGTCATACTGTACTAACATATGTTCTTTTATCGAACTTCAGCCATAAGTTCTTACTAGTTTCCACTATTTACTAGATTATTATTATTACATACGCACATTACATACACGTCTAAATAGTAGTAAAATAACTCTTAAGTATGTATATATATATATGTTCTTAATGATTGTTTTATTGTTCTAAATACCTTTCGGTAGTTTTCAAAAAAATTGGTCATATCATTAATTTTTTCTACTTATATTAAAACAAAACAATTAATGAATTCGAAATAATTTTATTATTTAAGTGTATTTATTTTGATATATTCATTTAAACGTTATTGATTCAATTCAACGGATTATCAACTAATTTTATAATATTTTGTTATAAATATGAGAATGTGTACTATACAATATTAAAATGAAGAAATTTCAGTAATACTCTTATAGTTTATATTTATCAGATATGTATTGGATATTAGTATGAAATTATGTTAAAAACAGTAAGTAATTGTTATAAAATACACTATTTAATTCATAAGTCTCTCTGTCATTAATGTTAAGGAAATTCATATTACACCTTAAAAGTTCTTGTTTCCAAATAGATTTTAAAATTATTATATATCATATTTGCCAGTGTTAATTTTGTTTTTATTCTTTAGACACAAGTTATTTCATATATCTTACAAGGCCAATATATGTCAGAAATGTAGTTGGCCTTAGTAATACTTAGTGTTAGTTTTAGATATTATTATTATTTTTTTTTTTTTAGTAGCCTTTTTTTAGATATTAATATGAACATTTAATATTATAATTTTAATATTTTTATTCTGAACTTTTGATTATTATTACTCTATTTATATTTAACAACTGCTCTGATAAGCTATGTAGTATAAGTAAATAGGAATACTTATATAGTCTTATACAACAATAGAACCTCGGTAGTTACATTCCGAGATGTGTTATATTTCCAACTGATTTAAGCTAGCCGTCTAATATGACAATCATATTTATTTTTTAAAATAAGTGAATTACATCACTAAAATAAATTTTTTGAAAATACAATTTTAATGTCATCAATTACTGGTTATTATCATTAGATAAAATATTTTTTACCTAATATCTTCCCAAGAAACTTAGTAGTAGTTAGGAAAGATAAAAAAATTTCAGCATGCCACAATAGAATCAAGGCTTAATACATGCATTTTGAGGCATAAAGTTTTCATAGCCAAATTATTCAGGCCACCAATGGCACATAATAATACAATTATTATGCTGCTGGACTATAATAGTATTCATTTCTAACTACTATACACAATAGTTTTTAAGAAAAAAAGTGAAGTGTAAATATATGTAATATATTGTTACAATAACCGTGTTAATTAAAAATACTACATAAGTAGCACAAAAATAAGTTTAGTCTTCTATTAAATAAATATTTTTTATACTTTTATTTAACTATATAACTGTAAACTATGATTAGTTATATCTAGACTGATTCATATAGGGGATGAAACCTTCTACAAGTTACCCACATAGAATATTTTTTAAATAGTGCCTGGTCTATTTCCTTATACTAAGCTCATTAATCTCGTATCTTTTTCTTTAAAATATTAATTCAGATATACTATCACTATACGGTTACACAAGTAATATACTTTATTTATTAAAGCAAAAAACTTTATTTTTATCTAAAATTTCAATTATAGCAACTGAAAGGCTCAGTAAAATATTTAAACAAGTCATATTTTTTTAGAAAATTATTTTTTGATAATTTAAATAATTTAAATTATTATTTCAGTTCAAAATAGGTTATATCAGATTATTTAAATCTAAAAATAATGAATCAGTTCAAATTATATAAATAAATGACATTTTTAACCATTACTATTTATTAAAAAAAGGTTAAAATGATAAAGTAATATTTATTTCAATTGCTTATTGTGTAACTAAATGTTAAATTCAAAACTATATTATAATTTTGAGTAACACTAAATTAAAATATTAATTTATAATATAAAATAGTAGCATAAAATGAGCGTGACATAGTTGGGACTAGTATAGATAATATGCGACAGTGATTAAAATCACTATCTTAAGAAACGCTTTGATCCAAATCTGTAGATAATGTTTAATTTTAAGAAATTGGTGAATCATTGAAAAGCAAAATTCTAACTAAAAACAATTACAGAAAAATTACAAAAAAATCATTGAGCAATGATTTTTACTGAATGGGTAAATGTTCATTGCATTCGTTTTTTTGATAAAATTGGCAATTTAAGCTGGTTCAAATGTTAAAATTAATTTTTTCAACTTTAAAGAAAAAAAAAATTGAAATAAGTTTAACATTGTATTCTATGTCAATTAGTTTTATATAATATTCATGAAAATCCGTGTACCCCTTTATAAGGTATTTTAAAATAAATTAAAATACAATTCCATGAATTTAAACACAAAAATAGCATATTTTTTAACTACGGCAACCATTTTCACATAGAAGATAAGTTGTCGGGACAATGTTTTTTTTTTAAACTTATAGTACATAACATTAACTCTATTTTAACATATGTTTGAAGCTTGAAGTATTTCCGGAACATTTTCAAAAGTTAAGTTAAAAAAGCTCAATTTTTGTGCAAAAGTTGCTATTTTGAATCCCCCCTGTGGGCAGGTAAAGGGTCAGATTTTTAAAAAATTTATATCAAATGAAGGAAAATATCTAAGGTTTTAATATAAAAAATAATTATTTTGATTTGTTCATTTTTCAATAAGTTATGGCTATTTTTAGAAAAAAAAGTCAAAATTTAGTCTAAAAATCGTAATTTTTTGGGGGATTTTCACTATTTACAGTGAACAAGAGCAAAATTTTCAATTTTTAAGGATAATGTCTTCAACTAGATACGATTTGTGATCTCTTGTTGTATCGTTGAGAAAAATCGGTCCAGTGAAATCTGAGAAAAAGTAGTGACGACAGATACAAATATAAAGTAAACACATCACATTGAAGCTAAATTTTAGTAAATTACTACTTCTGTTAAAAAACTTCTAAAACATTTTAAAATTTATATTTTTATAATACTTTCTCAAATTTTAAGTTATGATAAACTCAAACAATACATTATGCAATGATTATCACACTAAAGTTAGTCGTAAATTTATTTGTTTCTTGATTATTTCCCATAATATTTATATTAAAACTTCAATTAACTTATTATAAATTAAATAAATAATTCAACAACATTTTTATTTAGATGGAATTATCAGATTCTTCTGGAAGTACATCAACAGTAATACAGTCTATGTGTCACGTTCGAGCATCTGAATTATATCCAAAGAGACATTTGGAAACTGATGAAGGACCACCTACTTTAGAACCACCAACTGTACCCTTCACGCCTCTAGCAGGTGAATCAGTTGAATATTTAGGACGTGGTTCCAATAACACTGTTTTAGCATTATCTAATTATCGATTTTACCAACAAATATCATGTGAAAGATCAAAACATGTAAAAGGCTTTCAGGATAGTAATATTCCATTAGGCTTAATTGAAATGGTTGAAATCAAAGATTTATTTTACATCATTGTCAGTTGTAAAGATGCCCGCACTTGCCGGTATGCCTCTTTATTTTGTTTATTTGAATTTTAGTTTAACATAATTTAATACAAATCCTATAATTTTTGATCCCTTAAATTTTTTTTGTTACTTTTTTTTAAAAAAACTTTGGAGTTGAGAGGACTTTTATGATATAATGATGTCATAAAAAATGTTTAGACTTCATTTGAAAGAAAAAATGTAAAATTTAAAAAAATTTTCAGAAAGGTAAAAAGAAATTTAAGATAGTCATTTTATATAATAAATAATGAAAAATAATTTGTTAATTATATTATTTCTCTAAATAATAAAATCTCTTCTTAATGTTTTGTCTTTAAATTTCTAGAGTATTTTAAAATTTGTAAAATTAAAAAAATTATTATCTTAATTAATTATCTTTATTCTATGGTATTTAACTTCGGTCTACGCTCATCAGAGATAGATAAATGTAATAAAATCACTGTTGGTTATAAGTTTAGGATTTTTTCCATGAAAATTATTTAAGCTTAAATAAGCGCATAAGTGAAATTAAAAATATATTATAATTATCATCGCAATTTTAATTTGATTACCTATCATATAATTTTGTATATTATCTGTATCTGTAGCTACATAAATCAAACTCGAGTTCAGAAACACTGATTTTGATTACAATCTTCATAACAAAAACTAAGTTACTTAAATTTCTTCTAAATTTTATTATATTAATATATTACACCACTTTTAACAATTTTAGTGGTATTAAACTCTAAATTAAATTAAATTTTTAAGTATCTTTAAGTATTAGGCATCCAATTTTCAAAATATAAAAATGTGTCTAAGAAATGTTAAAATAATACCATCGTATAAAATGAAATCAAGTGGATTGAACTAAGACTAAAATAAATTATTTTTTATTTTATGTTTGATTATTATGAGTCTACCTAATCAAATCCTTAAAAATATTTATAATATGTTAAACTAAAATTTGATTGATGTGTAAAATTAATATTATTTACTTATAACTATTAAGATTGATTCTTTATTCTTGTAGATGTACCTTTTCTACTAATGATTTATGTATAGAATGGTTTAAGAGGTTAAATAAGGCTATACAATGTCCAAAAAATGTACAAGACTTATTTTCCTTTGCTTTTCATGCATGGGCCATTGAAGAACACTGTAATGAAGAAATTTCATTTAATTTAGGACATGATAAAGAAGATGAGTATTTTATGAAAGAGGTGAATGTTAAAAACTTAAAAATGTATTTTTTTTTTTTTTTTGCTTCATTACAATTTTTTTTAGATTGAAAGACTTAATATAAATGTAGTTGGTGATAATGTAAAATGGAGAATTTCAAAAGTAAATTGGGACTATAAATTATGTGCTAGTTATCCTAACCGTTTGTTAGTTCCTTCTTGTATATCTGATCAAGTGCTTGAAGCTGCAGCAAAATTCCGTAGTTCTAAAAGATTGCCAGTTGTTGTATGGAGGTACAATATAATATTTACATTACTATGTAATTAAAATTGAATATTTTATTCATCTGTATGGGAATAACTGAATGATCCAAGTCCACTTTTATCTAATTTCTAATTTAAATCTAGTTGTACATTATATATTTAATGAGATTCTGACAAATTAAATGTCTTATAAAGCAAAAAATAATTTTTCCTTTAAAAATATTAACAAAAATATACTCAGATCATTCTAATTTTCCAGTACAAACATTAAACTATTAAAAATAATATTGTATCAAATATCTGCCATAATATCAATATTATGTCAAACTTCATTTTAATACTGATATGCTATACTGTATTTATTTAGACATAAAAGTAATGGAGCTATATTAGCAAGATGTTCACAGCCAGAAGTGGGTTGGCTTGGATGGAGATCTTCAGATGATGAAGAACTATTGAAAGCAATAGCTGAATCTTGTCAACACAATACTAAAAAAACAAAAGTATTTAAAATTTCTTATAAATTTAAAATAGCTAATACTTCTAGATATATATATATATATATTAAGGTGTATAACTAAAAATGTTACAATATTATCCCTACAATGGATAGCATATTATACTTGTTAAATGTATTTATTATATTATACATTATAAATTAATAAAAAAATAAAATTGGTTTTTTTTTAGTTACATGTTTTTCTCAATTTATCAATCATGATGAGTTATTTTTAATGTTTATTCCTTATACCTAATAAGAGTGTCAATTTTATTTTTTCAAATGGCAACCCAACCCAACTTTTGACCTGTGTTTCTGAAGATACTAATACGTAATATTATTAATTGAAAGTAATGATTTAACTGATGTGTCGATGGTACATTTTTATGATAAGATATTTCTTAAACTAGATCATATTATCTAATAAAAATGTGAGTTAGTTATGTATTTTATCATTTGACACCTTTACATAGTATAAGCTATGAATATATAGAATAAATATGATTGATAAAACATGAAACTAAAAAAAACTTAAAAAAAACTGTTTNTAGTGGTTATTGATGCTCGATCTTATCCATCTGCTGTTGCTAATCGAGCCAGAGGTGGTGGTTGTGAATGTCCTGAATATTATCCTGGCTGTGAAATACGTTTTATGAATTTAGCAAATATACATGCAGTCAGAAAAAGTTTTCATTTACTTCGCCAATTATGTTCATCACCTTCAGATCTCCCTAAGTAAAATTTATAAATGTTCCTTAAATCCAAGTACTTATTTTAAATAGTCGATTTTATTTATATTATAGCTGGTATAGTTTATTAGAAAGTACTAGATGGTTACATAATATGAGTGGTTTACTTCATGCTGCAAACACCATTGCAGCAACAATTGAGCTGGAAATGCATCCTGTATTAGTACATTGCTCTGATGGCTGGGATCGCACTCCTCAAATTGTATCATTAGCAGAATTGATGCTAGACCCATACTATAGAACAATTGATGGTTTTCGAGTTTTATGTCAAAGAGAATGGCTAGATTTTGGTCATAAATTTTCTGACCGTGGTCAAGGTGATGATCCTAATGAACGGTGTCCAGTGTTTATTCAATGGCTTGATTGTGTTTATAACATGATGATTCAGTATCCATGTGCATTTGAATTTTCTAAGTCTTACCTAGCAAAACTAGCTCAACATATCTACTCAAACCTTTTTGGTACTTTTTTATGTAATAGCAGTGTTGAAAGAAAACGTGTTGGAACTTGTACTGCTACATTTTCAGTATGGAAACATTTAGCTGCTTTACCTGAGTGCAGAAACTATTTATATTCACCTCATTATGTAATTGTTTATACATTTTTAAGTGTTAAATTTGAATTAAATTGTCTCATTTTATTTATTATTATATTTTTAGGTTTTATGGATTAGATGTAATGTAAGTGATATGAATCTTTGGAAGGACTTGTATGTTGGTCCAGTTATCAATGGGCCACATTTAGCTAAATCTACTGAATTATGCAATTCACAGTAAGTATTTGTGTATCCTAAAAAAATAACTATTCTCAACTAAACATAACATATAGTCAAAACTATGTTTTGAGAAGTGTAAAATAGATAATTATTGAGTATTTTTGTTTCATTTTCCAACTTGTATTGACTAACAAATACCCTATACGAGTGATCAATAAAAATGTAAAGTGTATGATAGTCACTTAAATTGTGTAAAGAAGTCCCAATATTTTGTTCTTAATCAAAAGTATATACTCATATTTATATAATTTTTAAAGTATTTTAAAATAATATCAATTCCAATAAAAAAAATCTAAACCTTGAAATTTAAAAAGTACTAGCTAAAACATAAACTTTAAATCAAATTAAGTTCAAGGTAATTTTTGAGAAGGAACACTTCTTTTAAAAAGATTTAAACTGCTTCTTAAATTTTATAAAAAAAAATTGTAATTTTATTATAAATTAGTTAATTTATATGAGGAGTTGTGTTACATTTAATTAAAGCTCATGTAATTTACTGTAAAATAATAAAAGAAAATTTTTATGAAAACTAGCCTTTCAAGCATAATTAGCAAGCAAAGTAAAATATATAGAATATAAATATAACCAATTTTTTTCAGCATAAAATATATTATTTTGCACTAAGCGAGATATTAAATGTAATATATTGTAGAAGTAATGGGCTGATAAAACAAAAGTTTGGATTAGTCCCTATTTTTAAAGTCTGATCTTTGCTAAGCAGTTGCAGATACATAATAAATTTATTATTAAATTCATATAATTGTTTTATTGTAGATTGAGAATTGATAGTATGATAGAAACTTTAGGTAGTGATCAACCAATTGTAATCACTAATGATGATCCATGTTTAGAGTTATCCAAATGTGATGATATATTTTCAAATGACGATAAAGATGATAAGTCATCTGATACTAATTCTAATTCAAGTTTAGTTGCTGAAGAAAACTGTATTGGTAAGAATAATAATTTTTTATTTTATTCTTGCATTTAACAACTTGAAAAAATACACATTCAATAATTTCTTGCCATTGTCCAGAAAGCAACCAAGTTATTTTATGTCTCTTTAACTGCTTCTATGACAGCTAAAATTGTATTTAATTTATTAAAATACATGTATAAATATTTGTATACAGTGATTCATTTATAATGAATATTCATTTATAATAAATTTCTATTTATAATAGAAATGGTACATGCTTTTTCAATTTATTTTATCACAATGTATTTTTTATGTTCATCCCTTATAAACCTTAGATAATAATCTAATTAAAAAAATCACTGGTCGATAAAAATGTCTGAACTAGTACTTTGAAGTTATTTTGATGCAAAAAGAGTATAGTATCTTGAGTTAATTGTAGAAACCTTTAAAATAATTCTTTATAAGATTCTGGAGAGTTTATGAGCCTATATAATAGTTTATATACAATTAGCACATCATATTCAAATCATCTATTTTCTATTAAATTAATAATGATGGGAAATATTCTATGCTCCTCTTATTACCAATTTTAAATGTGGAAAATTTAAAAAAATATTTTGGTTCGTTATCTAATTTGTTTATGAGACCAATCTGATTAAAATTTTGAATTATTCTACCATATTGAAGAGTAGATCTTACCAATGCACAGAAAGCTACTTTTGAACAATAAGAGGCAGAAAGTTTACATGACATACCCATTTAATATAACCTATAAAACACAAGCTCTTATCATATGTTGTATTTTTTAAATGATATATCAGGTTATATAATAGTATTTAGGTTCTCAATCAAATCAACTAATTTTAAAGTAATACCATTTACATTATAGTATGATTTTATAATTGAGAAATCGAAAAAACATGTACCAAGAAACCAATCAATGTTATTTTTGATTAATGAAATGGTTCATGATAAATGAATCACAATGAATATATATTTTTGTTATGTTTTTTAGACCGACATTTAAATTTAATTAACCATTCTTTAAATCCAATTGATGGGTTATCGCCAATTATAGATGATATACAAAATAGACTACAACAGATTACATTGGAACATAAAGTAAACTATGAATTTATTACAGTTACTTACAATTATAAGAATATTATCCCTTTATAGAATAAAGAAGCTGCTTTACAAAATGAGCTACATGTAACACGGTTAGTACTTTTACGTCAAGCATCTCATCGATCTAATGGTGATGTAACAACTGCTTCTGATGCTAATAATCTTTCATTGATGGATAAAGTTGATGATGATGTGCGTATTTCTTTAAAAAATTAAAATGTATAAAGACCTCATTAAGGTCAATTGATACATTTTAACTTAGTTTTAGTAATGCTTTAAAATGAGGGTGGAGTAATTTTTTGAAGGTGTCCGTGTGTAGCAGTACTGGAGGGGAGACAACATTGTCCTGGGAACCTGTAGAAGCCCTGGATGCTCAACCAACTCTTTGGGTTCCAGATCATGCAGTTACTCAGTGTATGTCTTGTGACAATAAATTTTGGCTTGGTAGACGAAAGCATCATTGTAGGTAAGGATTAAGTTAATGATGTTAAAACACTTATTTATTTAAATGTAATAAATCAATAAATAATAATATTTTTTTATTTATATTTAGGAGTTGTGGTAAAATATTTTGTGCTGATTGCTCAAGAAATTTGGTACCATTACCAGCTGAACAACTGTATGAACCTGTACGAGTTTGTGAATCATGTTTTGCATTTGGTGCAAATAATTCTATTGCTTCAACAAGCACTACATGTAAGCAAGCAGTTGCAGATGATCACAAAAGTGTGAATGTTACATTACAACCCGCACAGTCAAACTGAAGCATATAGGTGGAAGTATGCTTATAACACTTTGTTAAAAATAAAATAAAAACAACTATAAATAATCACAATTAAAATATTATAACTTCTATATTGTATTTTTACCAATTGTTTTTTTCTTTATTTTTGATCAATTTATTCTTTTTTATTTTTATAAATATAATTAAAGAATAAAAATAAATAATGTAGCTTTTATTAAGCTGTAATAGTTACCCCACATAGATATGAAAAAATAATTTTTGTTTTTAAAAATAGTCTAAGAATTTTAACAATTTGAAAGGAAATTATTTTTATTGATGTTTAAATACTGTTATATATTATCATTACTAGAGAAACTTAAATTTATTAGTTATTTGAATGTGTTGTTGGTTTTTATTTGATAATTGAGTTATATGTAAGTTATAGTTTACTTAGACAAAAATTATAATTGCATTATTAGTTATTAATAAATATGATATTAAATAAAATAACGTATTCTTTTATGTAAATGGAAAACTAATAGCCTCTCTAAATTAAACTTAAAAAGGTTTCAGCTCTACAAAAATCCCATTTAATTGAATTTTGGTACAAACTACTATCAATTAATTCTATTCTTTTTAAAGACTATGTGCTCTTTCCATAAACTTTTTTTAAATGCCTCCCCATGCTGGTGATAAATTATTTTTTTTTCTCTTAAATTATCCATTACTCTCTAAAAATATAGATAATAATATATATATATATATATATATATATATATATAATATAGATGTAATATAAATTACAGTGCAAGTCAATTTTTAGCTCTTCATATTATCTCTCCGATATAATTTTACTCTCTCTATCTATTATAGTTATATACTCTAATTTTTCCTTTCTCCAGAGTGCAAATATTATTATTTAAATGAATTTTTTTAATATTTAGTATCTATAAGTAATTGAGATTAATATTTGTACAAATAAATCTCAATTAAAAAAAAAAGACATCCCTTCAAAAATACTGCCTAGTTGCACCTCAAATTAAGATATCAAAATATTATATTATTAGCCTTACAAAAAAATTTAAAACAATCAATTAGTTTAATAATTACAATATTTTATTTTGCATACATACACGCCACTATGGCTCATAATTATTTATTCTAGTAATACAATGAAGATTTATTGAACTTACAAATACAACTTCTAACATCACAGACAAATTGCACTAAAGAAAGTTATTCTTAGTACTTATTTACACATTATTTTTAAAGATAATTAAAGTAAATTTTTATACACTAAAGATCAAAATTTGAAGAAATTATAATTATAATGTATTATAAAATATACATACGTTTCATGATCATCAGAATAAAATCATTATTTTTCAAAAAATATTGGTTAATTTTTTGTTTAAAACATGCATAAAGAAAATTTAAAGATTCTATATTGCTTAAAAGAGGAAAAATTTAAGGTCAGCCAGAAAAACAAAACCATTGCTTAGATAAACTATAAAACCTCATTTTTTTAAACAATAAAAGATAAAGAAAGAAAATGAGACTTGGAGAAGGACTTATATTTATAAGGAATAACAATTTTTTTTTTAAATCATTTTTAATTTTAATACATTTTTTTGTTTTTTTTCTTATGATATACTTCAGCAGTTAAGTTCGACCACCAACCTGAAACTTTTCTATGTCTTCAACACTGAGCATGTTTACATTTTGAGTCATAGCTGGCATATTTGGTAAACGTCCTGCACGAGCTTGAGCTAATAATTCAGGAGAAAACCAACGAGCAAGTTGATTACTTACAGGTGACTGAACACGGCCAATTTGATTCTTGTCACTGGGGCCATAATTCATGCCTAAATAGTACAAGACAAACTATGTGATATAATATGAATTCAAATTCTATAACCTGTAGCTTAAGTTACCATAACTTTTAATAATAATAATAATAAAAAAAAATAATTTCATAAGCTTGTTTTGAGTATTTAATTATAATGTCAAGCTTAGACTCAAAAGATAGTAGTATAATTTTGTTTCTAGACTTAAAAACTTTTTAAACAAATATTAACCAATGTCTAAGCTATAATAGCTCATCTGATAACAAAAATGTAGAATAAATACAATTTAATAAATGAAATACAAATAAAGTTTATTATTATTTTTTTATCAATATTATTAAATAAGGCATCATTTCATTAATACATCATCTCCAAAATTTAGCTAAAATTATGTTTCAATGCAATTTTACTTCAAAATAAAATTTTCAGAAAATTATTTTTTTTTTGGCAGAATTTATTAAAAAATCTTTAGGTTTTTTCTTTTCACTTCTTGAATTTTCAATGTTATTGCACTTTAATTTTCAAATGTTATTAGTTAAGTTTATCAATTCATTAAAACAAATATGTTGGAAAAAATTTGTCCATAAAAAAAATGTTAACATGATCAAAGAAAGTTTCTTTGAAAACCTCATGAAAAAGTTATTTATGCATTACATAAGAAATAAATGACATAAATAACTGTATATAAAATTGCCAAATACCTTAATATATACACATTAATATTGTGATTTTAAGATTTAGAAAAGTAAATATGGAGGTAGTGTCACTCTATTTTTACCATAATGCACAGATAGGAATTCTTCAATGTTGCACACCCTTCTGGTCTACAGCTAAAAATATATGAACTCAAAAAGTAATATTACAAAACTAGTTATCGACCAGTCAAAATTTTATTTAATCCATTTGTCAATTGATGGTAAAAAATGTTATAGGTTCCCATTTAAAACCTTTCAAAAAATGTCAACTTTATTTTTTTAAATGGTATATGTAACTCGCTTATATAATAGGAAATTATTTATTTAAAAAAATTAAAGATGCTAATAATTTTTAAACCAATATTTCAGAAGTTATTAACATTATATTTAGATGAGAGGAGGAGTGCGGCAGATAAATGTTTTTTGATAAATATATAAAACCAGTGTCTCACCTCCAGCCTATATTTTAAAATTTTAATAACTTCTGTAATAATGAGTTAAAAGCTGTTATCTAAAATTAATTTTCTTTATTAAATCATTTTGTATATTATAGCTAGAGTTAAATATGTAAGTTGCCATTAAAAAATATAAAGATGACACATTTATAAGATATAAGGAATGGACTAATAAATTACTTAATAATTGATAAATCAAGAAATATATGAAAATAAAGAAAAACAAAAATAATTTTCTTAACATATTTATTTTAAGAGAAACCAAGTGGCTAACTTTAAATGAATCACTATATAAATATATTTTTGGAGAAGAATAGCTTTGAAAATATGGGTGTTGGGTTCTTTTTTAAATTTATAACAGTTTTTATAAAAGAATTTTTATTCATTCACAAATTTATTAATTCAACTTACGTCCATTGAGATTATTAGACTGTTGTTGTTGTACTCCATGCTGATACCTAGGATAGTTACCACTCAATATTTGTTGAATAGTTGTGTTGACTGGTCTTTGCTGTTGTTGCTGTTGCATAAATTGTTGTTGTTGAATTTGTTGTTGTAAAGTATTAATTTGATGTTGTAAAGCATGATGTGTAGCTAATTAAAATATAGTAATATTATTTGATTACTGATAAGTTGAATAAATAATAAAAATTTACCAGCTCTGTCATCTGAAATATGATGTTTATCTATAAGTGTTTCTGAAGTAGAAGTCATTTTACGTAATACTGATGTTGGTGTTAAGCCAATTCGTGGTTGAGGTTGCTGTTGCAATTGAGATGGTGAATTATTTAAATCTATAGAAACTTCTCCATTATATGGCGTGTTATGAACCTATTTATTTTTTTAAATATTTTTATTAAAAAATGAAACATAAATGTTATTTTTTAAATATAATATACAATGTGTCCTAGCTTAACCTGGCAAATCTATAACTTTTGATCCTTTGAATATTTTTTATTACTTTCTTTTTTAAAATCTTGTTATAGTATAGAACTATAATAAAATATATCTAACACCTTTTTATAAAAATTTTTTTTTATTATTATTACCAGAAATGTGCAAAAAAAAATTCAGAAGGCATTTTATAGAGTACATATTAAGAAAAAATTTGATCTTTCTTAATGCAAAATCTTTTCTTAAATCTTTTTTAATGTACTGTAATAATATTTTTTGAGCATTTAATTTTTTTTGTTTATAAAGATATCAAAAGTTGATCTAATTTTATCAATGAAGGGTATAAGTATCACAATCTACATATACTAAATAATGGTCATATGAATGAGATTTTTTAATGTAATAAAATAGAGACTAATAAATTATTATTACATTTATAAAAAATTAGGTTTGATAATTAAAACTGTTAAAATAGTAACAACATAATTAGTTATATTGTTTAATTATTGCTAAATTTTCAACTTAAAAAGAGTTAAAAATTGTTTTCGTTAATAATATTCTGAGAATATTGCGATAGTCAGTAGGAGTAGTATGAAGGGTGGTTAGGAGTATGAAGGAATTTTGTTATGATTTTTACTCTAGTTGTACCATTGGAAGAATATAAATAAACTTCTGTATTTTTTTTTTTCAATAGTCTTTATTAAAATATAATTAGCTCAACAATTATAAGCGAAAGTAAAAAGTATAATAGTCATAGTACTATGTTATAACGGTACAACAAATGCAGCAATAATTGTTAGTATTATATTAGTACATTATTTAAAAAAATTTTTACTTTAGTCTTCTCAGTTTAAAATTTTCTAATAGTAAGTTTTGCTTTCAAACTTAAAAAACATAATTCATATTTTAGTAATTTATTTGGTAGTAATTTGTTTAAATATTTTTCTAAGATTTCTAAAAAGAATTTTGAGTAATTTGAAATAACTATAATTTAAATACTTACACTTTCCATTCGTTTGTTGTTCTGATCAAGTAATTGTCTTTTTAACATCTGGCTTTGGTACAATGCAGCTTGTTGCTGGTAAGCTAATTCTTGTTGATTAACCATTCTCTGGGAATCTTTAAGAATAATTGATAAAAATATACATAATTATTTTGTTATTATAAAATTTAATAAAACATACTATTGGAATGTTGAAATAATTTCATTAAGCAAATCAGTGTTTCACGATAACGTAAATTGTTAGGATTTGTTTTTTTCCATTGATCAACCAAATGATGTAACATTACTTCACCTCGTTTAATTCCTGTAATGAAAAATAAACAAAAAATGTTACAGGTAAAAAAAATCTTCAATACTTCATTAAATTTACAATGTCATAGAATATATTTTTTTAATATAATGACAATATTTAATTCAATGCTAACCTAATAACATCTCTTGAGCTTCACGGTTATGCAATACATCTTTTGATGGTGTATAGAAATTAACCATATTTTGAAGTTCAGCAGGTAGCTTATAAGTTTGTTGCTGGGCAGTTAAAGCTTTAGCAAGGATGTTTTCCTGTTGTTTTTGTATCTAAAATGTTTAATTTTTAAAAATTTATTTATTTAAAATTAAATAAATTCTTTGGTCAATGTTAAAAAATAAAATAAAATAGCTGTCACAAAAATGAATGGACATATATATATATATATAAAAGTTTAGTTAATATCACCAAATTTATAATTTACATGTTTATTATTTATTTATTTAACATTAATAAGCAATTTACAATATAGTACAATACATAAATACTTACAAGGGGAGGTCACGATGATGAGGTCACCGATTTTCATAAAATTTATATAAATTTAATCTATATTAAATACAAAATAAGAGGTATTTTGAATTTTTTGCCAATGCTCCCTAATATAAATATTATATTTCCTTTAAGATTATATTTGGATATATAAAGTAAAATCAGAACATTTTTTTATATTCATATTTAATGTATTTTTAAATTTATACTAAGGAGCCATAACTAATTAATAACCCAATATAGTGATCATTTTGAGCAGGATAAATTTGAAAATAAAATTTCTGAATTATTGCAACAAGTAAATTATTTTGAATATAAAAATATGAAGGATTATTTGGATATGGATTATAAAAATATGTTTTTTTAAATATTTTATTATAATTAGTCATTATGATATTAAATAGTAGTTTTCCACATTTTTTCAACAAAACTACCGACTGAAAAATTCTAGTGACATTTTTAAAATCAGCGTAAAAAAAAAGGGCTTAGAATCTTATAGTTTTATTAATGCTACAAAATAAATGTCGACCCATGTAAATATTGATATAATTAAATTTAATCAAATTTATTACAGGCCATTCAGTATGACAAACCTTCAATATAAAATACTTAATAGTTCAATATTTAGTGGGATGCGCTATGTAGCAAATTAAAAATTTTCCAGTAATCAACATAGGTGCAACTACAATAATTTGCAATGCAATACGATAATATGCAAATTTGGGGGTGCTAAATTAATTCCTTTCTTATATTTTTAACAACAATATATATATACAATCTTCTACATTTTGAGAGAGCTAAGCCTCTACCAAGCATAGTTTAAATTTTTGCTCCTCTTAGAAAATATTGCAAAATAAGAAATTAATTCAATACATAAAATCAGATTAATTAGAACCTGTTGTGCTTCCATTAGTTTCATGACTAACTCATTGGGAACTTGCATATTAGACTGTTGAGAACGGTAGCTATTGGAAGAGCTAAATTGACCTGAAAAATTCAAATTAATTTATATAAATTGACTTTATAACATATAAAACAAACAAAAAAAAAATAGATATTACCAGAAGAAGTTTGTCCTTGATTTATTATATAGTTCTGAGGTGTTTGAGCATTATTTAGCATCTAAAATTGTATTTAAATTACCAGTTATAAGTAAAATTTAAATTAAAATACTGCATAACCAAATTTTTAAACATTTTGCAAAGCAAAAAAAAGTTATAAAAACTTAAGGACAATCACATCTATTATTATTATTATTATTATAAAAGAAAAAACATTAAATCACATTTAAGTGAAGAAATAGAACTAGCAAAAAAAAAAAAAATACTGTAATACTAGGTGTAATTGCAAAAATTAATTAATTAAAAGTAAGTAATTTAAAAATGTAGAAATTAGGAAAGTATCAATATTAAAGCCTTGTTACTAAAAATTATTTTTAATTTTTTGACTACTCCAACATACATGGTAAATCTAATTGAAATATTAAAAATGTAGAAAAGCTCATTAATGTTCTAACAATAGAAAATGAGCAATTTTTTACTAGGAATGTTGTTAAATTATAATTAAATATTGATAAATATTAAAAAAAAAAAACTTAAATTACTAATTTAATGATTATTGTAAAAAATAATACAAATTTTTTAAAATATTAGGAAAAATGTTTGTTTAATAAAATTTACCTGCATAATAGAATAATTTTGAGAACTATTAGAAAGACGTCCATCATTATTTTCATGCTCATTTTGAATCACCTTTTAATAAAATACCAAAATAAATATAAATTTTAGAACAATACTTTATATTTAGTTTAACTAATTAATGTTTCTTGAAGTGAAAACTTCTTTTGAGAGGCTTTGGATTTCATGGGAGTAAACAGTGAAATGAGTTAGCGACACTGACAATTGTAATCCAGTTTATCTGTATACATACATTCTATATGTATATCTATACATGTAAATGCATGCTTTGTATCATATTTTAGTTATCATAAGCCAATAATAACAATTATTAATAATGATAACAATGATGAAAATAATTCAACTGCCAAAGAAGAGTAATATTTCATAAAAAGAAATTAATTATGCTTATTTATCATACATAGATTCAATTGAGTCTGCCATTTTTAGTTTATCTAAACCAATTTTTTTTTTTTATTTATTTATTAAAAGTTTTTACTTCTATCTACCATCTCAAGATGGTAATTAGAATTGTTTTTTTTTTAATGGAAAGAAACTACATAACGAAATATATACCTTAGCATTTTGTAGTTTTTTTAAATTGATTTCATCACTAAATTGACTATTGTTATGTTGAGGTAAACTCCCATTTTGTTGACTGCCAGACATACGTAACCTAGACTCAATTTCTTCAAGACTATGGACTTTACCACTAGTTTCTATATGATAAATTTAGATTATTGTGAATATTTATGCTATTTAATTATACATAGATTATGTATTTTCTTAAGATCAAATAAAAATTAAGAAATATATTGTTTTTCCTATAATATTTGTATTATATCTTTGCAGTTGGATATCATGCACATAAAATATTACTTAATATTATTACTAATAAGGCAAACATGAACAACCACAACAATGATAATTTATTAATGTCACCGTTAGAAAAAATAAAATGTTTGTCAATTTCTTATAATTAATCATAAGCAATTGTTTTAAATTTCATAATTAAACCTAGTGATTAGGAAATTCCCAAGGAAGTTATTTTCAGTATGTTCTAAAGTTATCTACTATATGATAAAAAACTATGAAATAAATGGGAAATTGCCTACATTTAGTAGGCCGCAGATATCATAGAAATCAATATTTTAATCCAATAGTAACTTTTGTTAGTATATTATATATCAAACAAAATCCAAAAAATCACTAAATTATTCAAAGACACAAAAAAATGAAAAAAAAAAAAAAAAAGAAAGTATTTTAAAGGAATAAATAAGAACTAAGAACTTACCTAAAACACGCATGGTAGCTTTAGAATCATTTACTTGGGTCACATTAGCTTTGATAACATCCATAATAGCTGGTGGTAATTTGTTGTTTTCACTCGATGAAATAGAATCATAAGCATTAGTCATGTTTTTAGACTCCTTTATTTTATTTTGGTTTTTAACCATTCCGAGAAGCAATGAAGATAATTGTCGAGGGTCTTCTTCAGTATTGGATTCTAAAAGAATTATATTGATTCATAAATATACAATAATATATATTTAATGGAAAAATAGAATAAAAATAATTTGTACTATTATTCCCAGAATTCAGCATTTCAGTAGATGCAGATGAAGCTCGGCTGCTTTCATGAGTAGTTGTGAACCATTGACGAAATCGTGATCCAGCTGCACTGCTATCACTTTCTCCTTCAACATGCATCATTTCATTTAAGTAATCTGGTTTCAAAAAATCATCTATATTGAAGTCATTCATAAAATTATCGTTAGTTTTATGTTCAGCATCATATGCTTGAATGAATTCATTTCCAGATATTGATTCTAAATCTTTTATAGTTTGATCATCTGATTCTCCCTATTAATATTTCAAACGTTATATAAAACTGATTAGTATAAATATACTTTACAGTTACATTAAGTTTATCAGATGTTGACTTCTTTTTTTTATCCTCCTCTTTGTCTTTTTTTGTTTTTTTCAACTTATCATTTGTTCCTTTGGTAGTTGTTGCTAATTCAATGTTAGAATCCACAGAATTTTTCTTAGATCTAGCAGCTGAAAAGAATTAAAAAAGAAGTTGTATCAAACAGGAATGAATTAATAAAAAATACATACCCGTTTTAGATTTTTTTTGTTTTTTAGATTTGTCTGTAGGAAGATCTTCAAAACCTCTTAATTCTATAGTGTCATGTTGTGAAGTTGGACCATCTTTAAATAAATAATTTATGGATAAACTTAAGATTTTTATTAAAATAAAGATTATAATTTAATTTTCATCATTAAATGTTATTGTTTTTAGTATAAAAATCTATAAAATTAGTACAACAAAATCAAGTATCTATTGCAATGTATTCTGAGCTAAATAGGCTGCCTATTAAATAAAAAATTATGAGCATCTGTGTCGAAAATGTTTAACACATTGATGAACAAAATCATATATTACTGTTATAGCAATAATATTAAAATTTGACTATTCTAAAAATATTCTAAAAATGTCATTACTGATATAGCAGTAATATTTTCAATGATTTCTTATGAAGGAGGAAGTTGTTCTGACTCCACGCATTTCATAAAACCAGTGTTTGTAAAATAGTATGTCATTAACTGTTCATCAACGCATTAATAAGATTTTTTGTAGCTATTTATAATATTTAAAAGTAAAAAATATGAAACTAATTCATCTATTCTGAAATCTAAACAAAAATACATACAGAGTGCATTTTACCACTTCCCCAATTATTTTTATTCTTTGTTTACCAATTGGAATTTTGGAAATAAATTGAATCTTAAAAATACCTCTTTATCTATTCTCTCCTTGATCAGATTATTAAAAAAAAATTACGGGGTGGTCTGTATATTAAGTTTTGACTTTGTCCAAATGTGTTGTATTATTATTTTCGACTTCAAAAGTGTAAATACATATTCTATGGTAAACCACTAGTAGGTTAAATGTGTTTATTTAAGTCCATTGGGTATGTAATTTTTTGAAGTCTTACTGAGTAAAAGTTTACACATGTAAAAATATAATTTTGCATCTTCTAAACTTGAATTTTACCAAATAGTTTTTATACATACTTATTTACTAATCAAAAAAATTTTATGAGAAATCACATAAGTTCAACAATTTAAAAATCATATATTTCTGAGAATATAAAAGTAAAAAAATTTTCAGGCATGTTATCAATATTTCTTTTGAGTACTTTAAAGTATTCACGCATGTCTAAGTAGAGGAAGTTTTTTCCCTCTGTAAAATTTTATCCTTTGGACTAATGAAATCTCTTAAATGACCGATTCATTGATAATATAATTAGATTACACATAAAAAAATTTGTAATAAGGGGATTTGAACCCTTAACCCCTTCCTGACATAGCCTTAATATATGATAGATTTTATAAGTTAAAAACTTTAGGCAAAATCATAAATATAAATGAAATTTCCACAATTTCCCTGAACATTTAAAAATTTCTTGACTTTTCATGGCTCTCCCGATTTTTAGCAATCATAATTACACAAAATTCACTTATATATTGTATTTCACGAAATTTTACAAAACTAATAATCAAATTAAAATTGATAATTTTTTAAATAAACATTAAAATAAAAAATATACTCTTTAGTATTACCAGTCATCCATTCAGGTTCTTCTTGTGACCGATAAGAATCATTACGACGTTTATCAAAATTTCCAGATATTTTGTAACGATCATAATTTTTAAATCGCTCTGAATCTCCTCTATCAAATTCATAATCTTTCCTACGAGGTTCTCTATAAATACATCAAATATATAGAGCATAATAATTGAAGTAAAATAAAATAAATATTTTTAATATTATTTTAAATTTAAATAATATTAGCCACAAGTGATCAATATTTATTAAAGGAATTAATAATATTATTTAATCTTACAATGAATTATGAGATGAAGAATCACGGAAAGTTCCTTTGGAAAATGTATAATTATTTGCCATGCCATTATCTTGTTGACGATAACCAGACTCCCAAGAATCTCTACTCATCAACCTACCACTACCTATTCGACGTGATTCACGAACAGGTTCCCTAACAACATTAATATTAAAAAATACAATGATGACTTAGTAAAGTAAATTTTACCTTTCAACATATTGTTTTGCAGATGTGTTCAAAGGACTATTTGAACGTTTTGATGCATTGGCATTAACAGTAACAAAACACCCCGAATTAAAACTACGTCTTTGTGGACTTAAAACAATATCTTGATCCTTTTTTAAGCGGTCTTTAGCATCCTGTGATTTTTTCTAAAACATTAAAATAAATTTTACAATTTTTAAAATTATTTCCAAGCGATTTTAGGATAATAAACAGTTAATAATTTATTTGAAAAATAAATATATTTAACTAAAGTCATTCAAATATACAAAACAAATTAAATTATGGTAAATTACCAACTCAATTAAATATAATGTCACTGATTTTTGGTTTTATTTTTCTTAACAAATTGGACTAAATAAGAGTACTGAAATGATTGCTAACATGTATTTATTTTTAGTATAATTTATGTACCTATAAGGTAAAAGTCAACAGCAGCTAAAATAAATTAATATTAGAGTTGTTTGGCAATTAGTATTTTCTGCCATATGCAAGTCATACTTAGATTCAAGAATAAAACTACTTTGTCATTTGAATGAAATTTCTTTATATTAGTAAAAAATAAGTTTAAATAAAGTTAAATTAAAAATTTATGAAATTGACCTCTAATTTAGTTTCACCATTTTCTGTTGGTTGATTTTGCCATGGAGTTAAATCAAATGCAACTGTTTTGGTGTTATTTATTGATTTATTACTGGTTGTAGGCTTATTTCCCCTAAAAATATAGATTGACATTACAGAAAATTATTTTACAACTTTTTAAATGTTTATCTATATTGACAAAATATAAACATACTTTTTTGTTTTAGAATTTTCTAAATCCAATTCAGGAAAATTGTCTAAAAATTTTGGGCGCACTTTAGAACTACTTAAATTTTGTAACTCCAACAATGCTTTTTTAGTGTATCTTTTCTCTGGTTTAAATCTGACAACTTTTACCTTTTCTTCGCCAGAAGTTCCATTTTCGGATTCATTCATATTTATTCCTGCAAGTTGGCAAAATATAATCATTTTGGGATATTTATTTAATAATAAATATATCAAATACTTAAATTATTATTAAAATGCAAATTATTAAGAAGGTATAATAATAAAATCATATTAAATATACAGACCTAACACATTTTTGAGATTAATCGTACAAAAGTTATTATTATTCAATGATCTTTCTGGAATATTTTCTTTGTAATGGTGTGGCATTGTTTTTAAAACTTTATTTAACATAGAACTTTGAATACCAGAATGCCTTTTTCGACTTTTATTTATTTTACTATCCATGTCAATAATTGTAAATATATAAATATTACTCACTCACAAAATAAAATTAAGTCATACTAGTATGAATTGGAAACATTCAATAATAAAGTTAGATGTAAAAATACTCGAGTTGAACAATAACTTTTTCTATCATAAAATTCAATTGGAATTTCTTAAAATGTATTTCTAATAATAAACAACTATTGGACATTATTCTCCCCACCTAACAGATAAAATTTTATCTTAACAACACATAAGCACCTTAATAGTACATGACATTAGTAATATATGCACCAACAAAAATTTGAAAGATTATAATGTAATTAAATATATTTATCAATAATTAAAAACAATTATAAAGTCAAATAAACTTTTTAACAAACTATCATGTTTATAAATTATTTTAGATATTTTATGAAAAAAATCCTAAAACATACCAGCATTAAAAACAGTTCATAGTAATCATAGTACAGTAAAAACTTAAAACTGACATGTATGGAATTAAAAGTTCAATGAAGAACATATTTAGGAATTGTCATAAATATTTTAAATATCTCATGTATCATATCTCTGTCCAAGTGTGGTAAATGCCACTTATGCCATAGCTTTTGATAAAAAAATTTTACATCACTATTTAAAGATCTTTTTAAAGAAACACTATTTTTAGATATAAATCAAGCACACAAAATATAACATAGTATATAAATTAAAAACAACATAAAATTGAGGAAATAAAAATAATTAATAAAAAAAAAAAAACATTCAATTAGTACAAAAAAAATAATAATAGAAAACCATTGTTTTTTTTTTTTATTGTTAATAATAACAACAATAAAAAGTTATAATAAACAAAAAGGAAAAAGTGTATTCTAATTTGCTGTGCGCATCTACAATGGACCAACAGGTCTGAGTGCATAGGCATTATGTCCACCTCGTTAATAACTAAAACTAAAACTGCTGTGCGCATCAGACATATCATAAGAGATACATAAATAATTAAACAAGAAAAAAGAAATTTGGAAGGGGGCAGTGCATCTAGTTTAAATATTAATCAAGTATAATAACTTTGGTAAATCAATATCATTTGCTAACAGGTTTGAATAAAAAGTGCAATTAAAAGCTTTTCTAACAAGATTTTTTAGTTTCAGCGATTTAAAGACAGATGTTTAATTCATGACACAAAGTTAAGAAATCGATAGTGAATACAATCAATTATTTATGAATCTGCAGCATTGTGAGGATCTCATAAAACGGATCCATATTCAAAAATAAGACATCAAGATCAATAGACAAATTTTATTACAGAACTAAATTTAAATTCAGTTCATATTCTTTGAAGGAAACCAAGTGTTTTAAAAGCTTTGCAACAGATTTCATTAATATGAATCAAACTGACCAAATAGCATAAGTCACTATGTAGAAGATTTATATTATAGAAGGAGTTTACTGTCATAAATAACTTCATGTAATCAACAAATATAAAATGTTCAGTATACTGTACGGAAATTACAACACCATTAACAGAAAAATTTACATTTGAAAGCAGGTCCTGAGGTAGTTTTCCAAAAAGAAATAATACCTTATTTTATTACTTCTTCTTCTTCTTCCTCGCCTTAATCCTAACTACTTGGGGTTGGCCACCCTTATCCTAAACTTCCCTTTGACACAATCTCTCACATCCTCTAAGCTCACATCAGCTGTCCTTATATCGCATTCAATAACATATCTCAATCTTTTTTTTGGTTTTCCTCTACCTCTTTTTCCTTCAACATTCTTATTTCAAACAACGCCTTATTTTATTACAATTGTTTTTAATTAATTTAGCTGCTTTCCTACATTTCATGTTAAAACTATTTCCCTTAATGCATTTAACACCATTTTAACTATTACTTTTTTTTTTTTTAATTTTTACACCATAATTAACACTTGCTCAAATTATGTTATATTTATATGTTATAATTATGTTAGTTCATTAAAAAACTAATAAATAATTAATTTTAGTTTTTTCAACTATTCTTAATACATTGAAATATGTCAGTTTATATTTTAAATTCCATAAATAAAATATATAGTTTCATTAAATTTATAATTGACTCGTCAATTTTTTTTTAGTTTAACATTTAATTATATTATATTACAAGAATTATTATTCAATGAAAATTAAAGACTATAAAACATATTGCTTCTACAATGGAACAACAACATAAGTGGTAACATTATAATACTCAAAAATGCTTGATTAAAACTTCTAATAAATGATTAAAAATAATGACACAACAATTCTCTAGTGGATAATTATAAATTTAACAGTTATTTTATTGCTCTAATAGATAAAATAATATACTTTTATACTGATGCTCTACATGTGTCAAAAAGAAAAAAATTTTCCAATGGGAGGTTCATCTTCAATCAACACTTTATCATCTGAAAATGTCTTAAACTATCTAAAAACCAAAAAGCACACTTTCTCTAAATGCATGTTGAAAAAAAATTGGATATAACATCATTGCTCTAAATTGTTGTCATTCATTATAAGAGCATACTAAAGAAAACCGGTTTACGAAAATAATCACAGACCAACATGACACTAATGCAGTACGAGTTCAAATTCGTACTGAAGACACATTACATGTATATCAACAAAACTTTTCTGAAAATTAAGCCATTGATGTTGCCAGGTAACAAGCTATATTGTCAGTCTTATTACTTTATTTATACATCTCGTATATATTTATAATCAGGGTTTGAAAACATAAATTATTCAAGTTACATTTTATCGAATATAACCATCAGTTTTGATTATTGATATTATTTTTATACATTAAACTTTTAATTATTTAATTGAAAATTAATTATTATTATTATTTTTTTTACATGAATATTTTAAATCACTCAAGCTATTGAAATACTAAAAAAAAAATCCTTTAACAATCATAATTTAAGTATTTCTCTAATAAAATGTAATCTTTAAAAATATAACATTTTTAATCCCTATTTATAATTATTTATGTAGGCAAATGTTTATCATAAGAAAAAATTATTTCTAAGGGTAGATTTTAGGGGTAATTTCAAAAATAAAATGAGAACTATTATTTTTTGTTTACTAATATTTGGAAAATAATCTAAATAATATTTTGACAGGTCGATAGAATAGTCAATAATAGTAAAATTCTACTATTAGTTTTTGAGTTGTTATAATTTTTGGTTATAGACAAGTGGAATGCACAACATAAAAGAATTCTCATCTGAGCATTATGGTAAAAATAGAGTGTTACTAAACAATCTCCAAATCTTCGCCTATTCTAAATCTTCTAATACTAATATCTTAAAAAGCAATATACAAAACTGATTATCAGCTGGTTAACATTTTATTTAGACTATTCTCTATTAGTAAGATAATAATAACACATTTTCATTTAACTTTCTAAAGTAACCCCTAAAATTTATCCTTAAGAATAATTTTTTCTTATAATCTTCTTTTTCTTCCTTGCCTTAATCCAAACTACTTGGAGTCGGCTACGCTCAATTTTTTTTCCACAATCGGCATTGTTGTGGGCCACCCTGGAACTGCTGTTATGCATTACTTCAGGCCACCCTTACCTTAAATTTCTACTTGACACAATCTCCTACATCATCTACGCTTATATCAGTTGTCCTCATATTGCATTCAATAGCATCCCTCCATCTCTTTTTTGGTCTTCCTCTACCTCTTCTTCCTTCAATATTCATTTTGATAACTGTTCTTACAGCTTCCGATTCTTTTCTCCTCATAATAATAATTTTTTCTTATAACAAATGTGATATTTACAATGGTTTATACAAATAAATGGAGTACATTTTTTAGTTTTAAGTAAAACATTTAGTTTTAAACTGCAGTATTAAATACCAAAGATTATTTCAAATACAATTTGAATTAATAAGACTCAACAAAGCTATAAACAGCACAAATAAATTTGAAAAATGTATGCTCTATTAACCAGAGAATGAAGAAAGGATATCGCAATCTTTTAATGTTTAGTTTCAAATAAAATAAATCGTATTAAATGCATAAAGATATATTAAAACCAGCATAAATTTGGTCCAAATAAGATGTTCACATATCTATAGAACTAGATACAGTAACATTGTCATAGATGAAATCCTAGAATTTATAAATAAAGGAAGAGAATTAAATGCATCTATAGTATTTATAAAACCTATAGTATATTTTTACTAACAAAGGCATGGTTTTCATAATTGACCCTAAAATGAAATTGTACAATAGGAGCTAAATAACCAAACAATTTGATAATAGTTAAATATTAGCATAAATTATAACATTAAATGTAGTTTAGACACTGAAAAATGCATTATGCAATTTTATAATGTCAAATATAAATAAAATAAGTAGTTTATTTTATCTACTTTATATAAAATTTTATTTATACCAGCATTTTATAGGAAATATATGCAAGTATACAAATTTATCAAATAATTCATTATGTGAATGTAAACATATAAAAATTCATATGACAAAAGATAATTATATTCATTTAAATTGTACAAAAATAATATAATAGATACATATTTAATCAATTTTAGTAATAATTAAAGATGAGTGTAGAAAATTTTAAATAAACTACATTTCTTATAAAGTTCTTAAATTAACATAAAACATTATAATGTACAAGTTATTAATAATATAGTCCGACCACTTACCTTCAGCTATACCAGCGTCAAACAAAGTAGATTCAACTGAATCAGGATAATGTTTATCATTTGTAAGGTCAGACATAATAATTTTCAATAAATGAAATAATTATACAAGTACTTCTATTTAACCAGTTAAATTAAAATATGCGAAATATTCATTAACGACAGAAACTGAGAACTAAATAACAAAAAGTTCAGTTCACAAATATTATGGTTGAAAAATTCGGTTATTATATGATAACTGATCAAAATGATCACTATTGTTCGAACGTATTAGTTTTTAAAGAAATAGTAAACACATAATTATATCTTACAAAAACAATGTTTTTTAATAGACATCATTTAAAATCACTTAAAATTAATTAAGTTAATGTAACGCTGGAAATTGAAGCATAAGTCTTTATATTTGCACGATGCAAACGAGACGTTACACAAATAAAATAAGAGAAATTATGTTAACTTAAAGTATCACAATATGCAATATTTTTTTTTAGTTACAGGAAGCCCGTTTCCATGGATGGGGATAGTCGTGGTGGCAGGTGGGTTTAATATCATGGAATAAAAACATATAATATTTATTAAAAATCAGAATTCCTTATCTTTATTATATATTTTCTAATAATATAAGATAAACTTAATCTTTTATGATAGTAGCAATTATAACAATAATTATTATAAGTATTATAAAAATAATTATGTCAATTATTCAATTTTAAACCGCGTATATAGTAATTAACTATGTTTTAATAATTATTTTTTAAACAAATTGTGCCAAGTTTTTTAACTAATGAAATAAAAGGAAAATGGATGTAAATGAATTTTATTTTGAATCTGATTTTTATTTACTTAAAAATAACAAGGATTACCAGAATTTATTGAAATCGCTTGCAATTCTTGAAGTTCAACGTTCAGTTATTATACAAAATATTGAAAATATTGTCAAGCTCAAAGATGATATATCCAATAACCCACTTGGTATATTTAAAAAAATTGTAAAACGGAAAGATGTGAAAGGAATAAATCTGCTCAAGGTAGAAGAGGTACCATTCATTAATTGGTCTAATTATTATACTAATGAAGAAAATGAACAATCAAAACAACAAATACATGACATTAACTTGCGGTATAAAAATTTATCTAGGAAGATGGAATCTCAAAATAATGTTATGAATGAAGTAGAAAAACCTGAGACATTTAACAAACCTTGGACAGTAGAAGAACAGTTGCGTCTTGAAGAACTTTTAGTTGAGTACCCTCCAGAAAGAAATGAAAGTAATCGTTATAGGAAAATTGCTGAAGCATTGGGAACAAGAAATTTACGACAAGTATGTAGTAGAGTCCAAAAATATAACATAAAAATGAAAAAAGTTGGACAAATTAAAAGCATTAACTCAAATTCAAAAAATTTAAATAAGAAAACTGTTTTTTTAAGTCATAAAAATATTGGAGCGTTATTGAAACCAACTACATTTATACCATCAACTACTTTATCTGATGATGTTGATGTCTATAATATTAATCAAAATAATATAACTTTACACGAAAAAACAGAAATTAACAAACAAACTAAGTTATACATATTAAAGCATATTTTAAATGATAAACAGTCTAATACAAAAGATCTTGTTATTCATAAAAATATTAAATGCAGTGTGTGCCAATTAAGTCCAATTCTAGGAATTAGGTGGAATTGTGTTGATTGTCCAGCTATTGGAAGGAAATCTGATTTCTGTAATGATTGTATTGTAGATATTTTAAGAAATATTGTCAAAGAAAATATCCATCCATTGGACCATACTGTTATACCTATAAAACAAATCAAAGAAGATGAAGACAATATAGATAGTTTGGTTGATCCAAGTTATGTTCCATTAGTTTTTCAAACGCAAAATTATCTCGATCCAAATTTTATGGTACAGAATTGATGTCTTTGAAATGGTTTCTATCATTTTGTATGTGTAAAATTTAATTTTTAATGTAAAATAATTATTAAATACATGTTTATTATATAAATTTTATAAAACTTTGTTTAAACTAAAATTTGTATTTCAAAAAAGATACTAAGATTAATTATAAAGGCGGGTTCCCACGATTGGTGTACTTGTAAAGTACACCAAAAATTGTATACTTGCCAAGTCGTCCTATTATCAACATATAGAGTTCCCATGATTAGTAAACTTGACAAGTACGCCAGTACTTGTACATTTGTACAAGTAATAAACAAAGTGTACTATTCCTTCAACTGAATCAAATTCTAAATAATTGTATTGGGAGGTGAGATCGAAAAAATATTTACATATTTAGTCATTTACCAGTCGGATGAAGCGACTATAAGTTACAAGACAATTTTTAGTAAAGCCGATTTTTCACTACTTATGTATTTGCCAAAATATACGACATTTGACAAGAAGTGAGAATGGTGTATTTGTATTCACTGAATTCAAGTACTGAATACTATTCAGTATACACAATTTGCCCTTTATTAGTCAGTTGTTTTTTTTTTGTCACAAATCAAATGTTTTTAATTAGGTATATTCAAGTAAGGAAAACATCTTTGCCATAAACTGATAATTTCCGACCATCTGATACCATAACCATAACCGATTTTGATGAGACATTTAATAAAAAATAAAACTTAAAAACTCCGACATTGTGGATAGTCAAACAATTTTTTTTTTATTAATATACATATATTTATTTGAATATTTACTAAGATATAATAATAAAATAGTCAAAATGTAAGTTTTTTTTGACAGTGTTAATGTTGCTTTTGTTCCAAGATAATCCTCATTTGAATGACTTTCAACTTTGTCGAAATTTAATCGATATTGATTGGAGGATAGTATCGAATTGGAACCTCGAAAGTCCCGGAGACAATTTTCCTTATTGACTACTGAGACAATTTCCTTAATAGTCTAACAAGAAAAAAAAATCTCAAATTTAATGCGGGCCTCTTAAGCCCGCAATAAATTTAGAACTGCGAATAATTTTGCCATTATTTTTATGCCGTTATCTTAGCGCGTATCCTATAATTATTCTATAAATTCAAAATGATTTTTTTTATCGAGTTGAGTACTGTTGATGTACGCATATTCTTAAAAAATAAAAATTAATTTTTAAAATAAAATTGTGTATGCAATATATTTTTAATTTATTTATCATATAAACAGGACCTATTATCAGATTTTCGGAACAATTACTACTTAATCCAAAATCGGAGCATTATCAGTTCGTGGCAAAGATGTTTTGCCATTATTCTCTACATCTGTGTTTATGAACAATATTTTTTTTATCTTACTTTTTTGTTATCATGTTAACTTCGAGTAATTCTTTTTATGTGTATCACCTTCAATTAAAAGAGAAACGTTTTTATTTATAAACAATTTATTAACTATAAAATTAAAGTATATCTTAGCCTTTTTAATATAAGTCATTGATTATTACTTCGTTATTGTTCAATTGAATGTATATCAAAAAATATGGCGAATCTTAAGGAACAGATTGTTTTACCAGAAGAAGAATACCTTGAAGTAAGAGCCTTACATTTCTAGCTTACATTGAATACACTACATGGCTATTTATCAAAAAAAAATAAGGGACCCATTTTTTTAAATATTGGTTTTTATAATAATTAACAGGCTCTAGTTTAATACAATTTTATAGTAACAAAATATCTTCACTATTCTGTAAAAAATAACTAAAAGATAGTTTTATGTTTTGTAACAATGAATTAAGGTAAATTCATACCATAAATATATTAAAAAATAATGTATGTAACTTAACTATTTAGGTAATCATCAAAATTTATATAGCATACACAAAATTGAAATAAAGTATACTTTAAGAGTGGTTTATTATTGAGAAATTATACAGTTTGATAACATTTGTACATAGATTACTTATGTGATTTTTTTTTTATTTCATTCATTTAATTATTTTAAGAATCACTATTTACAACAAAAAATGATCTAAAATAAAATAGTTTTATTCTTTATTACACCTTAAATTTTTTTTAGTGCTTTCGTAAAAATTTTTTTTTAGTCTCTTTAACTTGAATTTTCCATGCATTTTGTATATTTTACATTTCCATTTTTATTATTTTAGAATATTGGAAAAATTATTGAAAGAGATTTTTTCCCTGATTTGGAGAAGTGGAAGACTCAAAAAGACTACTTAGATGCTATTGAAACTAATGATACTAAAAAACTAAGGGAAATATATGAAAAGTATAGTATAAGTCAACGATTAAATTCTGAACTACCAGGTACCTCGTTATTATTATTTTTTTATTCTTAACTACCAAATTTCTTCTAAAATAATAATAATATTGAAAAATATTTGTTTGGCTTCTTTATGTAAAATTTATTTTTTAATTTTTAAGTGGTTAATTTCTTTTTATGTTCACCCTTGACCCTTTATAAAGTTGAAAATATTATTTTTTTTTTAATGTCACCATGTATATTTAACTAATTCATACAATGAAAATGATCCTACTAAGGAAATGACTGTTTGATAACTACTTCCAAACTAGTTTAGGAGTTATGAATATTTTTATGTCTAGGTCAGAGGAGTAGCATGGTAGAGTGATGCGTAATATTAAAAATAAAATAATTCACACCTCGCCACTAGTTTACATTTCAAAACATTATTTTAAATATAGCTTTTTTAGTTTAATAATTTTCTATTATATATAATTCTTAAGTATGTAAATTAACATTTAAAAAAATAAAGTTGTTACCATTATAAGGAACTAAGGATTGAAATGGACCTACACCTATACTTCCAACGCACTAACTCGCTCTTATTAAGAGTGAATATTATTATTCTTATTATTCACTATTATTCATCTAGTACTAAAAATACTCCTTGCTCAAAATCAAAGAAATAAAAAAAGGAAGGTCCATTAGGATACTATAGGATAGACTTAAGTATTTAACTACATAAAAATTGAGAAATAAATAGTACTAAACATTAAAGCTGTTTTACTACGTTATTTAAAACTGTTCTACTACGCTATGTAATTTAAAAAATTTATTAAGAAATTTATTTAAAAAAATATAATTTTTGATTTAAAAAAAAATATTTACGATATTGTTTAACAAATCGTTATAGATACTAGTCCAGATACATTTGAAACTCCTCAGCCTGCTAAAATATCATTCACTCATGTTGGTTCAACCTCTAATACTGAAGTAAAAATTAATGATTACAATAATGAAAAAAATGGTAAATTTTTTAATGTTAATTACTAAAATCTTTTAATTAATTATTTACTATAGACTATTAATTATTATACTTTTAGAGAACTTAAGCTTAGATAAGTTTTTGAGTAATACAACAAGTGAAGACAACCAAAGTTTCAACGAAATTATTAAGGAATCAGAAATTCAATTTCAAAAGAAGGTAATACCTAAAAAAAATTAATTAATGATTACTTTTTTAGCTTCGATGCGAAGCTGAGAAGGTATTGGTTTAACTAAGATGTGTTTTTTTTTTTTTTTTTTTTTTTTTTTTTCCACTTTTTCTTCGC